TTTGAGAGCCTGATATTGTATTGAGTCAAGTTTTTTAGATAGAGAGTTGTTTAGGGTGTTGTATATGGCGCAGCCGTAGTCTAGTTTTGATCTAATTAGTGATATGTAGAGAGAGAGGAGGGTATCTTTGGATGCTCCCCAGTTAGAGCCAGTTAGGCATCTTAGGGTGTTTAGGTCTTTACTGCATTTAGTTGTTAGGTTTTTGATGTGAGCATCCCAGGTGAGATGTTCATCGAAAATAAGTCCTAAGAATTTGGTTTGTTTTTGAAATTTGATTGTTTGATTGTTTAGCTGGAGGTTTGGGGAGGCGGGTTTCATGTTTTTATGTTTGAATACTATTCCTGTTGTTTTTTCTGAGTTAAGGGAGAAGCCCCATTTGTCAGCCCATTGTTGTATTTTATTAAGAGATTTTTGGAGTAAATTTTGGACCATGTTCATGCTTTTAGTGCGGATCCAGATGGCTCCATCATCCGCGAATTTTGATGTGTTTACTTTAGGGGATAGGCTCTCGAATAGATCGTTTATCATTATATTGAAGAGGGCGGGGCTGATGATACTGCCCTGTGGAGTACCATTTTCTAGGGGACATTGGTCCGATAGAGTTTGGTCTATACCCACGGTTATTTTACGATTGTTTAGGAAGTCCTGGATGTAGTTTATTATCTGACCTTTGAGTCCTATTTTTTTAAAGTTTTTGTATTAGCCCATCGTGCCATACCATGTCGAAAGCTTTAGAGAAGTCTAAGAAGATGCCTGTGGTATATTGTTTATTTAGTTGTCCTGTCTTAATATCTTGTTCTAGTCGGGCGAGGTTATCTAGGGTTGAGCGGCCAGGAGTGAAACCGCTTTGATCTGGGTTTATGATGTTATTTTGGGTTAAGTAATGTTGTAATCTATTTTTAGCCATTGATTCCATTACTTTACATAAGTTTGAAGTTAGAGATATTGGTCTATATGAGTTAGCTTGATTAGCTGGTTTATTTGGTTTAGGGATTGGTATGACTAGGGCCTGTTTCCAGGGAGTAGGAACCTGTCCGTTTAGGTAGATGAGATTGTATAGTTTGAGTAGTGCCTGGAGTAGTTTTAGGGGTAGTTTTTTAATTATTTGGTAAGAAGTTAGGTCTAATCCTGGGGCTGTGCCCTTTTTCCTGTTTTGGATTACGTAGAATTTTTCCAGTCTCTACTTTTGGCTATTTGGACTAGTTTTTGAACCTGGTGGTTTAGTTCGTGGGCTATGTTTAAATATTTGTAGTCGCGTTTTGCTTTATTGAAGGCTGATTTACGTTTTCGTCTAGTCTGTTCTATTTCCTCATTCCACCATGGCACCGTCGGTTTGCCTGTCTTAGATGTTTTGAAGGGGATGGAGGTTTTGGCTGCGTTTATTATATAGTCTGTTAGGTTTTTACAATAGGTTTCTGGATCATTATTTTCTATTTCGTTTAAGTTAGCTTCGTTGCAGATATCTTGGAATTGGTCCCAGTTAGCTTTATTGTAATGGAATTTTGGTTCTTGGTTTTCTGTTTGGATTGGTACGTTTGTAATTCCTATGGTTATGTTTATGGGGAGGTGGTCACTACCTAGCGGGACGTCGTGCACTTCCCATTGAGTACTTTGGGCTAGATCTGCGGTGCATATGGTTAGGTCGATAGCCGACATTTGTTGGTTTATCTTATCGTACCTCGTGGGTTGGTTGCTATTAAGGAGTACTAGGTCGTTTGTTTCTATCCATTCGGAGATTAATTTGCCATGATTATCTATTTTATCATCTATGCTCCATGTAGGATGGTGAGCGTTAAGGTCTCCTAGGAATATAGTAGATTTATCGCTTATTTGGAGTAGTTTGTTTAGATCCTCAGGTTGGACTTTTTGTTCCGCCCAGTGGTAAATATTTATGATGTTTATGTTTCGGTTATTTAATGTGATTTTAATGCCGTTGGCTTCTAGGTTTGGCGTGTCTATTTTTATTTCTTCGTTAGTTATATCTTCCCTGATAAATATGATTAGTCCTCCTGCGGCTCTTCTTGTTTTCGGTTTAGCTCTGTCAGTTCTAACTGAGTTGTAGTTAGGTAGTGTGAATTTGGATTTTTTTGAGAATTTGGTTTCCTGTATACAAGCAATGTGAGGGCCTTTATTTAGTTTAAATTTAGTTTTTAGTGTGGGAGGTGAGTCCGTTGTCGTTCCACTGAAAAATATTTAGTCCTTCGAATATTGGGTTCGGGTGATTGGTGATTTAGTTTTTAGTTTTTATTTTATTCGGTGAGTTCTTTTAGATGGAGGTTAAAGAGGAAGCAGGGAAGATCGGTTAATTTTAGATTGAAAGCTACTTTGTGGAAGGATTTCATGCTAGCTTTTGGTGAGTTTTGACTATGCATGTATGCTAGGTGTAAGGTGAGGTTATTTAGGTTTTGGGTGTTGGCTGGTTGGGGAGTTTGGTTTGTTTTAGTTGCAGTAGTGTCTATTGTTTCCTCAGTAGTGGAGAAATCTTCGTCATCGGTTAGATAAGGTTTAGCTGATTGAGTTTCCATGGGGGAGGCATGTGATGTGGAGGATTGTGAAGGTGTTTGTGGGATGGGTGTAGCTGATGATTTCTTAGTGTTTGTGTTTTGTTGTTGTGCTTGCTTGTGGGAGAGTGTTGTTACCATATGGGCTGTAGGGTGCTTGGATGAGGGTCGTGTTGTGGTGGTCATTTTGAGGTTTGTTTTGCATGCGGGGGTTGATGTTTTGGCTATGTGAGATGTGGGAGGGTTTGTGGTTGGTTGAGTGGCTGCTTGTGTGTGTGAGGTGGGTGCGGTTTCTCAGTAGGGGGCCCAGACAGAGCTGTCGGTTATGGGTGTGGTGTTTGTTTGTGGGATGGTGTTTGGGTGTGGTGTAGGGAGGAGTGGTTTAGATGCAGGGACGAGATATTTTTGCGAGTTGCCATGTTGAGATGACCTCTCGATTACCAAACAATAGACAGCTTCTCTCCAAAGCTAGTTAATCTGAGTTGGCCGGAAAGTTGACCGGGTGGGATTGCGACCAATTATCAAATACGATAATTGACTCAACTCAGTGTCATGACTGTGGGTTTGAATGCAAACAAAATTGTGGACAAAATTGCAAAGGACACTGACGCAATCAAGCGAGGTTGGAAGAAGGCAGGATTACTGTGAGGTAACAGTGACACCAATTGGTCTGTTTACACTGTCATCTGTGATGTGTGACCATTCTGCATTCATTTGTGTTTTTAACTTATTGAGTAACTTGTGGTTCTGGTTGATGATTTCAACATTTGATGACGTGTTGCAATGAATAAAGTATGTATGTATATTTATTTTTGCGTTTTTAATTTTTGCGATTGAGTCTCGTTCGCAAAACACGCAATAATAAAACGGTCGCAAAAAAAAATCCCTGTTTGAAAGAAAATGAGATACATATTCCTTAACTCATTCACGTACATGTCTTGTACTCACCCACCCCGGTGATGGATGTGATGTGAATATATATATGATATTATTGTAATCACCCCCATACGCTCTTTCGGCTTGTCTTTGGGCTGTCACAAGACTTAGTAGTGCCTGCTCCCACTCACAAACACTCGGTTTCCAAGGTAAGTTAAGTCATCCATGGAGTGTACACCAGCATAGGTGACCTTCACACCAGCGTCGTAAAGTTCAGAAGCAATCTGCTGAGATTACCAGGCACCTAAGTGACACACTTGATAGTCAGCACAAGCTTATGTGACTCCTTCACACAATCGTCGTGAAGCTGAAACGTGAGCGACTGGACGTCTCTCACACTCAACTCGAAGCCACAATCCGACTGAAGGATCAGTTAAACAGTGGACACAATTCCCATGAGCACGTGAGTACAACGTGGGGAGCCTAAACGTCGTGTATCTCGCCAATGTCAATAAGATCTTCACAATTGTACTTTCACCATACTCCGTAGATATTATGGTTTAGAATAGATACCATACAGGCCGGAGGTGAGCAGCACACATGCTGTACTTCATTAACATTAATGATAAGACATGGATGAATAGGTGAGGTGAAATGGGGTTTAACGTCGCGTCCAAGATCATTGCACTTATATAGCGACGTGTGTGTGTGTGTGTGTGTGTGTGTGTTTGTGTTTGTGCTTGTGTTTGTGTGGCTGCTTGTACTAGTCCGGACTGATGCCGATTTATAGTGCTAGCACACTGAGATACCATGCCGCAGTTTAACAAGAATACCCCACTCAGACACAGTATTCTGACTCTGAGCCGACCAGTCCTTGTTTTAGCCCCTGAATGCCGAGTGCCAGACAGGGTAACAACAAGTACCACCGTTTAACGTCTTTTGGTATGACGCGGCCGGGGATCCAACCCAGGACTTTCCGCTCTCTGGGCGGACGCTCCACCACTAGACCACGTAGGCGGTCTATTATATATATGAACAACAATTATTTGCTGTAAAGCGCTCGCGATGGATCGTGTATTCTCTTATTGCGTACGCACGGTTTCACTACACTTAAACTGCCGGGCAATAGAAAGTATGCTCTTGAAAATTAGTTTTGACAAAAACATTACGACCGTTATCAAAACATTACTTGGCTGAAATCGGCGTGTCGCTGCGAAGTTCACGATTCAAGCATTTCTATGGCTCACCATCTTACATTTTCACTTTTAAAACGATCAGAAGTGGTGTTTTCTGAACTCTGCACTCATCAACGAAGATTGCATAGAGTGGCATAGATAAGGGAATGGATATATGACTTTTTAAAAAGAACATCTGATACAACGTCTTCAGAATATCACTCAATTCTTGTTTCTTTGAAACATTTTCGCTGGTTCAAATGCAAAACATTTCTATTATGCTTATAAAAAGTAAACACAAGTCTACGTGACACTACCTTTTACCTCTGAGTATAATGTTACAATGCCGACCACACGATCACAACAGTTTTGTTTCCATACGACTCACGTTACCTAGACTTAAGCTTGTTGGGTGGCCGTGACTCTTACTGCGGGATTTTCTACATAGGGACAATTCGGTTCATGTCTGGCAACGGGAAACACTTTTGATAGAATTACAATGATGAGCTCTTACAACCTGAATACCTGTGTATGAAGAAATGGCGACGGAAGGGGAACGAAGATTGAACACAAACAAAGGTACGTTCACTGTTCGCTTTCTGAATTACCTTTCAGAATTACCTTTCAGAAGTGTCAGTGGTCGTTTCGCAAACAATTGTTGTTTGTGGGTGAGTGAGTTGGGTTACACACATGCCAGCTGACACGTCTAAGGCACAAAGCTGTCGCCTCTAGGGCACAAAACTGACACGTCTAGGGCACAAAACTGACACGTCTAGGGCACAAAGCTGACACGTCTAAAGCACAAAGCTGACACGTTTAGGGCACAAAGCTGACACGTCTAGGGCACAAAACTGACACGTCTAAGCCACAAAGCTGACACGCCTAAGGCACAAAACTGACACGTCTAAGGCACAAAACTGACACGTCTAAGGCACAAAGCTGACACGCCTATGGCACAAAGCTGACACGTCTAAGGCACAAAGCTGACACGTCTAAGGCACTAAGCTGACACGTCTAAGGCACAAAACTGACACGTCTAGGGCACAAAGCTCACATGTCTAAGCCTAAAAGCTGACACGTCTAAGGCACAAAACTGACACGTCTAAGGCACAAAACTGACACGTCTAGGGCACAAAGCTCACACGTCTAGGGCACAAAACTGACACGTCTAAGCTACAAAGCTGACACGCCTAAGGCACAAAACTGACACGTCTAAGGCACAAAGCTGACACGTCTAAGGCACAAAGCTGACATATATAATAACACTTAATCAGTGTTCTTTCTTTCCGGAAATCAAACTCATTGCGAATCATTTGCGTCTCGTGAGAAAGACACGAGCTAGCTGATACATTCATGAATAATTTGGAGGTTCACTTAGTTATCTCTCTTTGTATCACATTTGCCCAGAAGAATTGCGTTTTCGTCATAACCATTTTAAAGACGTGTATATTTATATTTAATCTGTCTCCTAACGCCTTAGCTCAATACACATGCTAATAAGAAAAGATGTATAACATCAATATCAAGCCCCATGCCAGTAAAATGTGTGAGCGTGCCCATGTGTCAGTATGATAGCAGTTGTCGCGAGAGAGGATCACCGCTCAATGGCGCCTATAAATAAAAGCGACAGATCCATTACCATACCAGTAATAAATCTCTGGACCCGTGGCGATCTGAGTTAGAATAGGTCTTCCTTCAACAACCCATGCTTAAGGAAGAAAATATGGATGTCAACTTCTTTGTTATAAGGAACACAACGTTTCGATGTATATGCTTACTCCTTCATCAGGTGAATGGATGCTATGAGGCAGAGGGCATATTACTGAACCGCAAAATAAACGTCACCCCCAGTAACATTGTGCATGAAAAGTTGTCATTTAAATATCTGGGTAATTTCTGTCAAAGTTTCTAAAATTTAACATTACCTTTTCCGGAAAAATTAAATTTGATGATACAAACACAAAGCAGATGACCGATCGCCCAAATGCATCACGGTAAAGGCCATGGTAACCCGATACACTTGAGGTCCGTGCAAAATTTAAATGCACATGCGTTCCCCCATTTCTTGTCTTATAAAAATCCACCCAGATCGGAAAACATTCCTTCGTCATTGAATTGCTACCGCATGCCAGGATTAACAGGAAATTAGCGACACCAAGACCATGGACGATTGCAAGCTGGACAAACCGCCCTGCAAGTAGACGATGCATTTCAAGTCCACTTAAGGACCATATACAGGCTCTAGCAACGGTACCAGACCACCAACACTACAGATGACGACCACGTAGTGGAAGGCCAAGGGTCACCACCCGACGTCAGAATCGTCAGATTGTTCAAGACCGCTTTGTTACTGCTGCGGAAACTGCTCGACAGACCATGACGTCCTACCAAGGGCAACAACTGCGTCAGGCTTTCCTCAGTGTGTGGGCTCAAGTGCCTATGGCCTTCATCAACCGCTTCATCCATTCCATGTATCGACGTTGCACGGCAGTCATCAATGCACATGGCAAACACACGAGATACTGACTAGTGTTGTGTTTCACTTTAAGAACTTTTGACACTTTAATTTCAACCTTGATGATCAGTTTTGCCAAGTTTCATCTTTTTAATCTGTCTCAAAGTATGTTTACAGTGTTTCTCATATATCTATCCATGGTGACTTTTCTTTTGCGGTTCAGTATATTACAATATCCATGCTTTAATAAACAGGAGCCAACTCAACTGGATCCCAACCTTTGATGACAAGTATATTCGCCTATCCCCGGATCATCATCATACCTTGCATTCACAATACGGAAACATGTAGGCATGCACAGAATAATCAAACACAGTCCGTCTCTCGTTCGTTATTGAATTGCTACCACATGCCAAGATTGAAAAGAAATCAGCGACAGCAAGCCCTTGGACGATTGCTAGCTGGACAAACCGCCTGGCAAGTAGCCATTGCATTTCAAGTCTACGTAAGGACCATATACAGGCTCAAGCAACGGTACCAGACAACCGACACACAAATGACCGGAGACCAAGGGTCACCACCCGACGTCAGGATCGTTAGATTGCGCGACAGCATCTTGTTACTGCTGTGGTAACTGCTCGACAGACCATGGGGACACAACATCGACACATTAGTGCGGACACCGTGCGTCGACGATTGACGAGCAGACACCTCCACTGTCACAGGCCACACCGAGGACCCATTCTATCACTACGTCATCGCCGGGACCGTCTTCAGTTGATAACACAGCACCAGCATTGGTGACACAGCAGTGGAAAAGAGTCTTTCTCAGACGAGAGCCGTTACTGTATCTCAACAGCGGAGAGAGAGATAGAGAGAGAGAGAGTCTGGCGACGCCGTGGGGAACGTTATGCGGATGCTTTTGTTGTTGAGAGGCTCGTGGGGTGGTCCGAGCATCATAGTGTGGGATGGAATTGGGTTTGCACAGAGGGTCGGTCCTGTGGTCTTCCGGAACATCGGTCCTGGGAGGGGCAATGGTGTCACAGCAAGTCAGTATATTGATCAAGTCTTGAGACCACACGCCATACCTCATTCGGCACGTCGGGGCAACCACGAGTTTCAGCATGATAACGCCTGTATTAGGAATAACCACTACGTATTTAGTTCGCCAAGGCTCGCTAAATACAATGGTTATTCCTAATGCAGGATATTTACCATCCCCAAACACACTCGCGTGATAACCTCTATGTACATGCTGTGCTGCTGTAAGGGTCCACGAGTGTTACAGTAGTATCTGGTAAACGTAAGACATACACATGTACGCTAACACACACATGTGCCTTGTTTCGTTGTATTATTACCTCAACGTTTGTCACTTTCAAGTATCATATTTAATGGTCAAAGCACATTCTCGAAATATATATTGTTCTATTATAATTCATTGTTTCAGAATGTCCACGGGGAAAGTGTCGCTACTATTTTGCCGTACTTCTGTCGGTTGGAATGGTTTTAGGGAGTTGTCTGCGAGCGAATCTCGGCTTAACTATTGTGTGTATGGTTCGCCATCCCCACAGCAACTTTAGCTACTCTCAAGATCTAGGAGCAAGGCCAACAAACAGAACGGTATCTAACTTGATCACACGTCATTCAAACAATATACACCTACGCGATGATCACTCAAACTACAGCTACGAATCTGGCAATTCTAGTCAGATTGGCAGTTGGATTACCAATGATGGTGCTGAGGTAAGAATGTTCTCCAATAAGTTATGTACAAGCTGTAAACGTTTAACACTTACCTTCTTATGTTCAGACACAGTCAATTTAGTCTAGATACCATCAACATTAAACATACATATGACCTGTGTATACTAAAAAGTAAAAAAAACCCTGATTATTCAATATTAATATTATAGTTAATCTGACATAGCAGATCAGCACAGGTGTTTGTTGTCTGGCACAAGATGTCGATGTCATTGTCTTGGTTGCACCGGCAAAATAACCACTTAAATGAAACCTGCGGCAAAGGGTCTAGCAGACATGTACACGTGTCAGTCAGGTTTCTAACAAAGCTCCAGGGCATTCCAAATATGACATGTAAGCATCTTTACGCCCTTTTAAGCATACAGTGATGTCTCGTTTGTATTTATAGATTGGGGAGTTTGATTGGAGCAAAGACATGCAAGGTATCATTCTCGGTGCAATGTTCTGGGGATACCTGTGCCTCCAGATTCCCTGTGGGCTGCTTGCCGAACGATTTGGTCCCAGAAAAGTCATGGGCATAGGATTTATTCTGTGTTCTGCATCAACATTGTTTTCACCCGTTGCTGCCCGAAACAACGTCTACATCCTGGTTGTTATAAGGATTCTAACTGGCGCATTTGTGGTGAGAGCCGTCCTGATTTGTTTGATATATATTTTAGATAGAGCTGCAACTTTATAGGAATTAGTTGTGATCATATTTGGCAGCATAACTTGAAAAAAAGTTTTATATTTTGATTTAAAGTAAGTCTATATACAGGATACAATTATTCAAAAACAAACAAGGCAAGTAAACCGGTTCTTGGTTCTACATCCTGATTGCTATAAGTTCCTAACTGGAGCAGTTGTGGTTAAAAATCATAAGATTGGTTCTGGTTTTTTGGTTTTTTAAAACATAGATGCAACGTAAAACACTCGACTTTATAATTATGATAGTCAAGGAAACGAAAAGTTACACATGTACACTGGCAACTTGGTTTGGTGATTCGAAATATAGAAATATTCTTCACAATTCATTATTATACAAAAATTAAAAAATGCAAAGAGTTGATTAAATGTATGGGCTCGATAAGCTATACCAAGCTTGAAATGTGATGAGAATTGACTAATTAATAACACTCGAATGGTTGCATTGTATGACGGCGGATTGTGCGTCACTCTACACGGGGCGCATACTGCTGTTCATGCTATCAACCTCTGGTAATCCTGGCCCGGGCTTGGGTTATATTAGCAGTGATTTCAAACATCCATGTTCATCTGTTTTTAAGTCTGTATTGTTCACATCGCTTCCTGCATTCTGGATACACTGGGCACCCAAATCAGAAATCTCAACGTTACAAGGTATAGCATTTGCAGGTAAGCAAAGTGACAAAACCATGTACATAACTATTAAGCGGTCGCGTGGTCAGTAGTGATTTCAATCAACCCATGTGCACCTGTTTGAAGTCAGTATAGTACACATTGCTACATGCTTTCTGGATTCGTTTTGGCACCCAAGTAAGAAATGACAATGATTCAAGGTATCGCATTTGACGATGACCACATGGGAATGTTTTTCAATTCCATAACGACGACATCAGTTTGCTTGAAGAATCTATTGTTCCTAATACGTTGGTATCAGAAAGGTACTCAAGGTGCTAGCTAACTTTGAAGCACCATTACCATTGCTGCTCCTGCTGATAATAATGTGTCATTTCCCACTAGAACAATGCATGTGTTACTATTCACATTCGAGAAGATACAGGTCGGATTTGTCTTCAGCAATCCATGCTTGCCGTAAGAGGCGAATAAGGGGATCGGGTGGTCAGGCTCATTGGCTTGGCTAATGTATGGCATCGTATTCCAATTTCCTAGACCGATGCTCATGATGTCAGTTTCTGGTTTGTCTGGTCCAGACTCGATCACTGATAACCGTTATATAGCTGGAATATTTCTGAGTGCGGGTTAAGCAACAATGAAACACACTGCTGCTCATGAACGTCATTCGCGTCCAGTGTGTTAACACAAACACTACTGTTCTTGTAACTAATACTGCTATAGTGACTACAACCTCTGACACAACTACCCCGACTTAAAGCACATTTCCATCATTAACTGAATGTACCAATATTCATTCCCCAAATAACACAAACAAGAAAAACTGATTTTATACCATTTATAATGTTATGTCGCAAACTGACTATTCAAACTGAGTTATTCTCTAATGTTTGTGTGAGGATCTACTGCATATAAAGGCATTCGGTTTTATAAGTAGTGAGTTTTATATTTTACGCCGCTTTTAGCAATATTCCGGCAATATCACGGCGGGGGACGCCAGAAATGGGCTACACACATTGTACCCACGTCGAGAATCGAACCCGGGTCGTCGACGTGACGAGCGAACGCTTTAACCTCTAGGCTACCCGACCGCCCGGTTTTATAAGTAAATCATATTTAAATATGTTTCATGTGTTGTTGAATTTTGGTTTATTTTTGTACATTGATGCAATGCGTGCTAGGTGGTGAAGTTGGAATTGCTTTGGTCTTCCCGCTGTCTGGAATCCTGTGCAGATCTGGTATTGACGGCGGATGGCCTTCAGTGTTTTATGTAACAGGTGCGTATTGGTAACGCATAGAAGATAATCTTTCATTGTGTATTTCAGTAAAATTATAACATACGTAAAACTGAAGATAAACACTACGCTTCAGGTTACTGTATGTATGTCGAAGATTGTTCAAGGAATATCACGGATACAATAGTTCAGTGCAACATTTTAAATTTTCTACTTTCCAGGGGGCCTCGGGGTAGCATGGTCTTTATCATGGATGTTTCTTTCGCGTGATAAACCACGTGACCATCCATGGATTTCAAAGGCTGAAAAAACGTTCATAGAACAGACTACCAAATCACGGCTCCATGCGAAGAAGGTATGCCAAATTGAAAACAAACGAAACCAATTCATCGAACGCAATTGCTCCTCTTTATTATCACCATCTCCATCTCCATCTCCATCTCCATCTCCATCTCAATCACCGTCTTAATCTCCATCACCGTTATGTGCATTAATATCACAAACCTTATTTATTGTGATAATGTCAATATTGATGCACGCACATCGCACGATGATCCTTTTGGTTGTTTTATAACAGAAGGACCCTAGCCGACATTTCACGCAACAAAGTAAGCGAATTGTACTCACATATATACCAGGAACAAGAGAAAACTTTCCCTTAAGATTTAGGTTTTCCAAAAAGGGTCACCTTTTTCATTGTGGACACATTGAACGTGTTGCTGTTCCTAGCACCAGGCACACGCTTCACATACCCCAATAATTTTGACGCATCAAGGAGACTTGGTCGAACTACCTGCATGTTCAACCTGGATCCCGCCCCGCCATAGAAACACTAGTTCTTTTATCAAACACCACATTAGTCCTCATGGATTAGTGACCAGCAGTAGTGGCGCGTGTCGATTCGAAGTCAGGTAATGAAATGAGACCATGTATAATTATAATAAAAGCGACACAAGTCTTTTCATGATCAGAAAAATAAATTCATGGAAGTCAAATGAGCCTTACTCCGTTGATGAGCTTTGAGCGAACCTCACCCGGTATTGAAGCAGTGCGTAGAATAGAGGTCGCAAGGTCATGGCTCATGTTGCACGAGACATACTACCGATGTACTCTGAGCGCTGATTGGTCTGAGGGCCTGCTTGTGTCCCTATCGCTGTGACCAGCTTTATTCGTTCGTTACAAATACAGTAAACTACGGTTATAACGAACTCAAAGGGACCACTGAGTTTAGTTCGTAATAACCGTAGTTCGTTATAAGCATAAATACAGCATATAGGCAACAAATGGCCGGGACTAAAAAAATAAGCGTGCTCGTTGTAATGGTATTTAAATGTAACGACTACTTTAAGGTATTACGGACGTGTTTTGAAATAGGAATTGGGAAACATGGTGTATACAGACCCATGATATACTGACGATAATTTCATTTTAACCATATACTAAATCGGACATGAAAATTATAGCGACAAGACCCTTTCCATATTCATCAGAAATCTCTGCCAAAAGCATGAGCATGTGTTTATGAATTACTAAGGTGAACGTATCCTACCCCTCCGGTGACACCCGTCACAAACACACGCTAAGGCAAGTTAAATTAACAAAAGGTACACGTCAACATAAATAATTATATCTCACATAATTTGTGTCACTCATGCTTCAAATTTGGAAATGTCCACCATTACATTTTTGAAATCTTTACTGAGGCCTTCAACGTTGTCACCTTGATTAAATAACTTCTGAGCAAGTGTCGTACGGCTCTTTTAATCTTAGTAGAAAGAACAGGCTCCATCGTACCTCAAACGTTGTAAAATCTTGGAACCAAGGGCTGGAACTGCAGGAATAATGCTCGACATAAGGGAAAGTTGAAGTAATCCCTCTTGTCATACAGTGGAGAGTGTTTTGTCACACTCTTTACGCATAGATCTAAATTTGAAACAGATGAGGCGGTCTTTTATGTCTAGTTCAGGTACATCTTTGTTTGTTTGTTTGTTGTTTAACGCCGCAATAATCCAGCTATATAACGGTCTGTAAATACAATGTAATCGAGACATGGCCAGACAATACAGTGATTGATATCATGAGCATTGATCTACGCACTTTGGATACGATGATATGCATCAGCCAAGTCAGCGAGCCTGATCACCCGATCCCGTTAGTCGCCTCTTACGACAAGCATGGTTTGGTGAAGACCTAATCTGATACGGATCTTCATGGGTTCAGATACATCAATGCTATGTAATAAACTTCAACCTTCATTTCATAATGTACGTCATTCACGTGTTTTCTGATGTATTAGTACCTTGTTCTATGTCTGTCTGTGCAGAAGATGCCATGGAGTGATATGTTGAGGTCGTGGGCGGCGTGGACGTTAATCTGCACCCACACATTGTACGCCTACGCCTACTACATGCTACAGCTTCAGCTTCCAAGTTACTTCAATGAAGTCATGCATTTTGACATACAATCGGTAGGTGGAAATATTATACACGACCTTACAAAGATGATGACTGGCAACCATAAAATGACTTACGAATATCATAAAACTGTAAGTAAAAGAGATGAAGTAGTGTTTGGGAAAACGAAGTTTTAACACATTTCAGTATCATCAGATCTGTGTATCATAACCCCCATGGGGTCCCGGGGTAGATAAGAATGTGTCCCCAGCACCCAATTGCTGGTCGTGATTGGCGACCGAATTGGGCAACCCGTTTGCCGTGGGTTGCTGTGTCGGTGGAGGAAGGGATTCTGGTGGTTGAGGGCACTGGAGCCAGGAACAGTGTTCTCTTGCCCAACAAACCACTTTGACCCTGACTTCACCTTGACGGGTGGTAGAACTGGCCCGGTTCTATCAATCAGCTTGGCATGTCAAGCCAGTGTTAGAAACCTCCTTGTTTAATTTTCTACATGATTTTGTATTTGGGCTTAGAATGTTAAACTTTGTATGAACACTTTTGCCTTGAGTCCTATGCCAGAAGGCGGTGGCTCATGGGCCAATCCATCTTCCCGAGGCAAGTGAGTTAACTGACCTTAAAAGTCCAGTTTCCACCCTTGCCGAACTAGGCTTGAATTACTGGGCTTGATCGTAGCGCCACAAGTGGCTATTACCAGTTATGTCCCTTATAAACCTCTCCAATGGACCAATCAGATTCCACCTCTCGTATCACTTGCGTTTGCTTCACACAAAATGGTGGCGCCAAGTCAGGACGATCTGATCGATAATCAAGATCTATATTGTGATAAAACGGGTCTTACATCTCGAAATGCATCAAATCACGTGAGCACCTTGATTAAAAACATGAAAAGAATGGGAAAATTTCTGCTGACAACGAGCTGGCGGTGCACATGTTTTGCAAATTCTGCAATCGACCGAAATCTACACGACAGTTTACGAACCGGATTTCGATTTCGGTGCGCGATTTTGATTGGATTATGCATAGACTCGTTAGTCCAGCCAAAATGTAACTCCATAATACCAGCCTAGTTCGGCAAGGGTGGAAACTGGACTTTTATAGTCAGTTAACTCTCTTGCCTCGGGAAGATGGGGCCAATCTGGTAATGTCGACCTCCGAGTTCTAAATGTCTTCAATTTCTGGTTTTGAGCCGAGCAAGCCTAGCGTTTTATTTGGTAGACAAATAGAGCTATTCATGCCGTATTTAATGGAGTATATCACCCCTGTATCCCTCTGTTTTCATGCTGAAGATCCGCTGCTGTGAAACACTTTCCTTGTTGACACCCCGTAGTGGGTGGGGAGCGGGGGTGCCGAATCTTACTACCGACAATTTGTCCCTTACCAATTCTGGGTCCGTCAGAAATGACAAAAAAAGTCGTTTAGAGGCAGATCATCTTTCATTTCATGATCATGTTTCAGTTTCAAAGCAACAAGAAACTTGGAAAAGGTTTATAGCTGTTGAATCTACAAATGGAGAGACACTCGAAATCATTCCTTTTGTTGTATCAAAGTCAATTCATTCTATCTGTCTTCCTCCAAATCCTACCACTTGGAATTCGGATCAAATCACATATTATTGCTGCTAATCTAGATCTAGATATTATCTCTCCATATCGGCTCTTGTCTGCTCCTCCCTGGCAGCTGGTGAGGCCAGAAGTTGACGTTTGCCTCACCATATTTATTATATTTGACACCAATCAACTAATCTATCAACAGGAATATGTACAATTAAGAAATAAATATGACACACGCCGTTCAATATTTACTGATGGATCCAAGGACAGTGGCAAAGTAGCATGTGCCACTGTCGTTGGAACGAAACATTTATTACCTAGAATATCAAACAATAGCTCTATTTTCACTGCTGGGGCTATCCTTACAGCCTTGGTCCATTCAAAGACAGATTGCAACAATTTATCATCTTTTCTGATTCTATATCTTGTCTTCAGGCACTGACAAATGTCTCTTCTAAACATCCAAATATTTTAGAACTTTATTATGATCTTTCAACCGACCAATGCGACATCGTATTGTGTTGGTTGCCCAGTCATGTGGGCATAAAAGGCAACACACTGGCTCAACAAATCTGGGACACCATTTCCAATTCCATACAGTGATTATAAACCTTTGACTAGATGTTACATCCGAGATCTTATGCAAAAGAAGTGTGACACCCAAGTAGGTATCAATAAATTACATCAAATTAAGCCAACTATCGGCTACGCCTCCTTGGGTTGTCAGTCTAGATTTAAAGAGATCATTTTACGACGATGTCGTATTGGCCATTCAAGATATACACATGAATATGTATTAAAAGGTGAGGGTCCTCCGTTTTGTTTCCCTTGTGATGAGAGAATCACAGTCAAGCACGTACTGCTTGACTGTATTGATTTTCCCATTACAAGGGATCAATATTTCAAAGAGTCATCCATGAAGGATAATTTTAATCTAAGTTCTCATTTAATCATAGATTTTTTAAAAAGAAATAGAATTATTGACCAATTTTGATGTACGTAGTTATTTTTTTACGAAATGGTAGTGTATAATTATTAACCGAGATTGTTTGTGGCTGTGTCCTCGAAGGGGGATGAAGTAGCGTAAAATCATTGTCCCCCCCCTGAGAGGGTTTCATAAGACTAAGTCATTCACAGTTTGTTATTCCTACCGTAATTTTTAATCGTAGTCTATTTGTGAATTTTAATTGAGGGCTAAAATTGACTACAATCGCCAGCAGCTGAACCGGTGGTGTAAATCCTGCTGCAGTTAGCAGAAGTATCGTTAGTCCCCACGGTCCCTAGTATGGTGGCCAGACTTTGGTTGCTGGCGATCTTTTGCCCGTCTTTCATAATGTATTGTTAAATCATAGGTTATTCTTTTAATTGTTCTCAACCAGTTTTAGCTTTAAACTGCGATAGCCTAGTTAGTACACTGTCCGTCGATGACAGGTTTTTATTCGTCTACATTTAAGTATTATTAATGTTCTCGTCACAATATGGCTGAAATATTGCTGATGTGAAGTTAAATATTGACTAACTCACTCACTGTGTATCATATAGTTTAATTCTATAAATATTGCCATGCATCCTTCTTCCGATTGTTAGATTTAAGATATTTTATATTTGACAACTTCGTTCTGTTAAACGGTAATGCGCGACAGGGTCAGAACATAAAGTTCGATATGTGATGGGTCATCTCCAGAGAGAAACAACACAGTGTATTGCTTTAAAAAAAAATCATAATTTTGAAAATTGTAATCAATATCTGTGAACAAACACGCAAACGTTCCCGCTAACAATCAACGACAGTAAAGCATGATTCACTGGTCTAACACATTTTGATTATTATATTGTCCATTCAGGGAAATACTATTTGTCACAGTGCTTCCCAATATGAACCCTGAATGTTCTCTGTGTATAATATTTGTAGCTCTGATGGTGCTTCATTAGTTCCATTGGACAATTATTTTGATCACATGGTCCCTTTTGTTCCTGTAAATCAAATGGCGCCTTTTATAAAAACCTAATACCTTTCCTCTGGAAACTTACGATAAAAACGTCAAAAGAGGAACACCAGCGCAAATTGTTCCACATGTTGACGATCAACAATACTTCTCCATTTGAGTGTTATGGCGATTTACTTGTTAACAGTTTCTAGGATGCTCATGTATTGTGTTGCTTCACCGACAGAATGGTTTGCTTGTCATGCTGCCGTACATCTGCACTGGTCTGTCGATGTTCCTGGCTGGCTGGCTGACTGATGCAGTTATTCGGAAGCACTTTCTGTCTCGCGACAACGCAAGGAAGCTTATGAACACTCTAGGTACTAACTGATGTTTAGATTTTAGATGTAGGTACTGTTACTGTTTCAATATAGTTGGACACAAACATGCATAATGAACATATATAGAAATCATTTGTGGGCTGGTGCTATGTACTAATACGTTCGTTTAACTGTGGAATCCCATTGACATTGGAATGGATGCAGACCAGCTAAAATGCTAAAGCATATACATAGAAATATTGTTCGAGAAAAATGTTGATTTTACGTTGTGCAAAAAGACGGCGGACGTAGAAGGCCCAACTCAAACTCCGGCGCTACTCACTCAAGAGTGACTTGAGCCTAGGCTGAGATCACTCTGGAGGATCTTAAACCTCGACTCAGATCACTTGCCCCTAGGTTCAGACCACTCCACTCTCGTAAGCCCACATGACTCCCCGGGCTCAAATCACTTCCCCTAGTAACTTAAATGTTTATATATCATTGTATGTTTGTGTATATATTTTTAACTTTATTGGAGGCGTATATAGTTGGTGACACACATATGACTGTAGACCAATGATCTTCGCCCTCCGTGTACGATGTCTCACATTTAAGTCACATGTGATAATCATCCAACCCGCATGACACGACAGGAAAGAGTCCTCGGTGACCGATTCTGCACCGAAAAACTCACGGCACTTGTAACATGGTGCATTAGGCCATTCCGTTAGCATTCTTAAGGCCAACCCAGGACTATAGCTTCTTCCAGTCGTTACATCAAGTGAGCTACAGCTTTCAGGTATCGTGATGTAAGCATATGACACTAACAAACATAAGATAACAAGAGGGATTGACAATACGAATGCTTGGTACACGGGGAAAGGGTCGACAATGATTTAAAGGGGAAGTGTACACGCAAAAATCACTTTCTTTCTTTTTCTAAACAAAACGCAATTTTAGAATTAGTTAGTATCTGTGTTTGAAAATATACACTCATTTTTTTCACAGTGAAAGTAGGAAGCTCACAATAGTGTGAAAATGATATGCCGTTATGAAGCCTTCGTTTTACGAGCGAAATAGGCCTGAGTTATCCCCCTTAGATTATGACGTAATTGGTGCCAACTCAACTGGGTCCCTGTCTATTCTCAACGCAAAAGATATCAAGGACCAGTTTGCGGTAAAACAACATGGTCTACGACACACTCCGGCGCAGTGGTGACTCAGCATAACACAATTCTGGCTGGCATCTGAGACGCTAGAATCACAAAACTGTACCTACACCACGTGAAGCGGCTCTAACAAAGCATGATGACGTCATAATGTTTATCAATTGGCACCAATGACGTCATATTGCAAGGGGCATAAGCCATGGTGTTTTTGTTATGAAAATAGAACACTTGGTAAATGTGAAAAATATAAATCGTTTAAATGCAAAAAATATGTTAATTAAATTTGATGTTTTTATATTTTTGTCTATGACACTTCTATGTTAACACTTTTAATGTGGAAAAAGTACAAGAAAAATTGGTTCATTTCCGTGTGAACTTGCCCTTTAAGGTGACAATTAGGGCCGTTCGGATAAGAGATTGATTAACTGACCTGGAGGTGTCGTCCCAAAGTTACATATGCCGAAACGTCTGTAGGCTAAACCATCGACCCAGTGCACAGCTAATCCCTGCATTTTACCTGTTACCTTGAATAATGGGTAAATGTGACTGTGTCCCAAAACCTCTACAAAGGAAGTGACAAGAATATTACTAGACACGATGGTCCATACCTGACACTAAAGACATAAAACTCGTTCTTAGATCGTAATGGAATACGTGATGGAGTATGTCAGTGTATCTAAGGTGTATGAGACGTGCAACTACATCCATGTAGCTAGGAGATTGTTTTTCACTGCTCCTTTAGCAGACACAATCGGTTCCTAGTCTGCAGTTGTGTACTTCTTGGGTGAGTGAGTGAGTTGGGTTTTAACGCCGCTGTTAACATTATTCCAGTTATATCACGGCGTGTCAGCTTAATGTGGGAGGAAAGCCCCACGTGACGCAAGTCTCAGACGTTTACCACTTCGGTAAAACCCACGAGCACGGGTATGGTGCTGACAAACCTAGAAACATAATAGGGGCGAACCGGGATTCGAACCCGCAATCATAGATTTATGGCGTGCCCAAGGGACGCAAATCTGCACAGCGAATGACGGCGCCTTAGACGACTGGGCCACCCATGCCCCCTGTATACGTCTTGGGGCCGAACCAATATAGTGAGTCTGAAGATGTGGGGAAGGGGATAAGGCAGTGTCCCTTTTGGGTGGTTCTGGAAGCCATCTCATTTGTTGTTTATTCTGGGTCCGGCAATGCCATAGTGATTCAGGTGCACAGGGATTCTGTCGTCATCGTTGACCGAGGTGACAACAATAAGGTAATTGTTGAAGTCGACGGCATCCGTCAGTAACATGTTTTATGCTGAAGCCATGGCTTCAATCCATCTGTCCTGAAAAATATCTGAAGGAAGGTAGGCAGAACCTTTCTGATTAGCACATCGCCCACAGAAGGAGAGCTACCCTTTCGTGTTGACTTGATACACAATGCCTAGTGTCATACCCAGAAAGTCGACATTGTTTTCGAAGTTGATTCATTAGCCTTTATTCGGGGGACCTTAACGTCTTTGCTTGAACGGAACTCCTACAATTTGTTTAGCTGAGAAGGCGAATCCTCTTTGTGTGCCTCATTGATCTGCTCCATCCACGGCTGACTTGAATTGTTTTACAGATTTGAGAGATATCTCTGTGTTTTACCACTGATAGCAGTCCGTCGTCAGCGAATGTGTAAATTTGGATAGTGTAATCGAATTCCAATTATTGAAGTAATACACTAAAATTACCCAGAAAATGTTAGAAATAAATAATTGTTGCCAGGGGATTTATGTTTATTACATGGCCACCCAGAGTGATTATAAAGCAGACAATGCCCAATAAGTTTGAGATAAACTATTAGAGTTGCTTTTGTTTGTGCTGAGATTTACACGAAAACACCGCAATTACAATAACACAAGACTGGTTTGTATTCTCATTACAAATCGCATATAACATGCAAGGTTCCTTTGGGAATAAACCCATCAGGCGTCATGTTTGTGTAAAACATTTTCGAATATTTTCATGTGTGATGCCAACTACAATTGCAAAACAGGTATCAAACATCTGGAAAATATGTGCTGTCTTATGAATTCCCAGCCTCTTCTTGTTCATCTTACAGAAGACGAGTTAACAGCTAACCATAGTTACCTCATTGCCATTTGTGGTGAAAGATCGTATAATTTAAACCACTAATCATGTGCTAACAGAGACAAAATACAGCATAAAATACGTTTATATTGTCAAATATATATTAACATAAAACTTGTCAGCCTTTATCGTTATTATGAAATATTTGTTGATAGACAAGCATGTAATGAAAATCACTTTATCAGGACCATGACAGATATTCAATTTGTAGTTAAATTATTAATCATTCAGGAGATAAACAATTATACTGTATTTTCATTGCAGAGTTAGGTTACTTGTACATTTAACCGCGCTAAATTGAATTTTGAACCGAACGCGCAGCGTCAGGTTGCAAATGTAAATGTTAAATGTTAATTTAAATTGTTAAATTGTCTTTAAAGATTTCTATCGTGTTTTCTGCAGGAAATATATTGTCACACATTATTTGAATATTGATATAATTATTTAACTATGCCTACCGGCAATGAAAAAAGTACTATTCTATGAATATTAGCTACCGCGGTGATGCGGCCGTCAAACCAGTTGTTTCAATCAGAGGGGGTGTACAAAAAAAATAAGTTACACAATGAAATGCACACATGTTTGTGATATTGTGCACAAGAGTATTTTCTAAAAATACTTTTCGTTTATGAAGAATGTCATTCTGTAATGAAGGACAAACGTACACATATTATACTACAGCTGTGTTTATTCTCTTTTTAAGTGCTTGATCTCTTCTGAAATTGGTTACCACAAGTTTGTTCAAGCTTCTGTGTAATATATGCTTTTAGTGTCATCAAAAGTGATAAAAGATGACAAACCTTCCACATACTTTGTCTTCACATAAAGCTGAAACACAATTATATGGGTAACAAACCCATTACTCGACATCACGGATCACACACTTTTGCAGATGTCATCAACACTTTACAACTTCAGTTTATTTATGATTTAAACAATATTTATTTCCAGGAAAAAGGAATGGGATTGGTGGAACAGGTTCAACCTATTTAAACACCTCTCCCTACAAAGATCATTTAACGATTAATAAGAGTAAACTGTACATAAAACAATAAATTTAGATTGATTGTGCCTACTGTTGCAAATATTATGATGATATACAAGTCACACACAAATACGCAAATATGTCATGATGTCACCAACAGTTTATTTGTGTGTCTGTAGGGTGCGGATTGCATGCCATCTTGATGATCATCCTGGCACAGCTGGACAGTAGAAGTCAAATACCTGCAGTAGTCTTGCTGTGTTTAGCAGGGGCATTAAATGGACTTGCCTTGACTGGAGGGTTTAATGCAACGTTTCTAGAAATCGCCCGTGTCCATTCTGCTACTCTCTTCGCCGTGTCCAACACCATTGCAAGTATATCAGGGATAGTGGCGCCCTATGTAGTGTCACGACTCACGCCCACAGTAAGTATGATTAGTGACCCGTGAAGATCCGGTGTAGAATGGGTCTTCAGCAACCCATGCTTGCCGTAAAAGGCGACTATGCTTGTCGTAAGAGGCGACTAACGGGATAGGGTGGTCAGGAACGCTGACTTGGTTGATGCATGTCATCGATCTCAATTGCGTGGATCGATGCTCATGATGCCAATCACTGGATTGTCTGGTCCAGACTCGATTATTTTACAGACCGCCGTCATGGCTGGAATATTGCTGAGTGGAGCGTTAAACAACAAACAAACAAACAAACAAAAGTATGATTAGCATTGCATTAAAGGGACGACTGGAGCTTCTGGACCTTTTGTTCGTGTCAACTTATGTTATTGGGCCCGTGAAGATCCTGTGTTGAATACGTCTTCAGCAACCCATGCTTGCTGTAAAAGGCGACTATGCTTGTCGTAAGAGAACGGGATCGGGTGGTCAGGATCTCTGACTTGGCTGATGCATGTCATCGTATCGTAATTGTGTGAATCGATGCTTATGATGTTAATCACTGATTTGTCTGGTCCAGACTCCATTATGCACAGACCGCCGTCATAAAGCTGGAATATTTCTGAGTGCGGCGTTTACCAACCAACAAATAAAATATTGGGCCTTAAACGTTTTCTGATCTCTGGGAACAGACGGTTCATGTGTAAGGTAGACACAATTTTATGGATAACAACTTCTATAATACTTTCGGTATAGCTGCCTTATACCGTTGTCAAGCATGACTGATTTAGGGACATAGTACAGAATATATATAGTAGGTTGAGGATTAACAGTAACAACAATTGCATACATGAGTGGGATAACATAGGTGGGGGTTGACATCAAAGGGATACTGTCACAACACGATGGACAGAGAATACATAAGTGGAAGCCAATGGGACATGAAGCCAATTAAACAGGATAGGTGATTATTGCTTGATGGGTTCATAGTTGGCGGATGGGATGAAATAGCCTTGATCTCTGTTGATTGATGGCTTGTGGCGGCGAATGTGGACTGCTTCTGTTGGTTGTATGCTGCTGAAACATGAATGATCAATGCATGATGCATGCATGACCCACCCATGTCTAAAAGTATAACATACCCTGATCCTGCACTTCCCATAAAACCAAGTGATATTGGAGAGAGCTCATATTTTATTACACATTTAATATTTTGATTACAGTATCAGCGACCGTTATTGGCAATAGAAATGATCGATACGAGGAAGACGAAGTACAAAGTTAAGAGAGAAGTGTAGTGTACATGTACATATAATTATGTATTTAACAAAATACGTAAAACTTCAACCTTAGGCCAAACCAAGAAAAGGCAACTTGTCCTTATATATACTTTCGCTGTCTCTGTGAATGTGTTTCTGTATCGAGACAGCATTTTATTTTGTGCATGATTGAGTCAAAATCAAACTTATTTCAGCACATTTACATTCACTGTATGTAAATATAATCTTTGATTATGAAGAGGAGATGTATAATTTTGGTAGGGGTCTCCAAGGAGGACGGTGTGTTGCATTGTCACTATACAGATTTCATTTTACCGTTGTATCAATTTTCAACGTGACAATAATTTGACAACCATGATACTAAATAAATTCATTTGTTTCAATTTCAGTTTGGCTAATTCTCTGATACTTGTGATTCTTGGGTGTTATAAAACATAGAACCTTGGTCGTGCTTTTAAGAACATACACGACAAGTTCATAGAACGCCTTTCCTATGCTATGACAAAACATGTTAATTTGGCCATGCATTTAATAACACAAATGAAAAGTTGATAGAACGCGCTTCCTATGATAAAACATAGAACCTGAGGCGTGCATTTAATAACAGTTATGACACGTTGATAGAACGCGTTACCTATGATAAAACATAGAACTTTGGTCGAGCAGTTAATAACACACATGACAAGTTGATAGAAAGTGTTTCCTATGTTTTGATAAAACATAGAACCTTGGTCGTGCATTTAAGAACATACAGTATAAGTGGATAGAACACGGTTCCTATGGTGAAACATACATCTTTGGTCATGCATTAAATCCCACGCATGACAAGTTGATCAACGCGTTTCCAATGATAAAACATAGAACATTGGTCGTGCATGCCAGAACACACATGACAACTTGATAGAACGCGTCTCCTATGATAAAACATAGAACTGTGGTCGTTCATTTTATAACATACATGGCAAATTGCTAGAACATGTTTCCTAAGACAAAATGTCGTTATTTCCCCATGTTTCCCCAGGGTTCTCAGAGTGAGTGGCAGTCTGCGTTCTACGTAGCAGCGGCTTTGCTGCTCATGTCAACCATTGTCTTCCTGTTTTCTACGACCACCCCACAACCCTGGGCTCTACCTCCTGTTGACGATACAACCACAGTGGACAGTCTTACCGAAGATCGCACTGAAGATAAATTATAACCCTGGACAAAATACATATGTATATTTGAAGTTATATTACGCCAAATATATGACATATGACAGTATATCACAAGGAATATTTGAATGCTGAGAGGATATGTGTCTGATAAAACCGTGTATGATCTTGTTGTTGTTTGGAGACCACGTTTTCCGTGTTTAAAGTGTCCGGCCAAAAATACACCATGTCACATACTTTTATGTTAGAGTATCATTGTGTTATCTTTTTTATCACGGGCCCATGGCCACAATGATGATGCGTACATGAACTGCCACATCATAAAAGGGTTAACCTGTCGTCTAGAGACGGGTCTGCGGCCAACATTGAAGGATAAATTATAGCCAAACTCGGGGGCACGGGTGGCCCAGTCGTCTAAGTCGTCTTGAGTTGCGTCCCTTGGGCACGCTAGAAACCTATGGTCGTGGGTTCGAATCCCGGTTCGCCCCGATTATGTTTCTAGGTTTGTCAGCACCAAACCCGTGCTCGTGGGTTGCAACAAAGTGGTAAACGTCTAACACCTGCATCACTTGGGGCTTTCCTCCCACTTTAAGCTGAGACGCCGTGATATAACTGGAATACCGTTAAAAGCGGCGTTAAACACAACTCACTCACTCACTAAAACCAAACTCATCACAGAGAACCATATGTGACCACCTATGAATACCCACGTTTAATATTGTGATTCCAAGATTTCCAGGAGCGTCGTACGATACCTGCTAAGAAGTTGTTTGAACAAGGTTACAACAATTAAAGCTTTCAGAAAAATAACTTTCTAAAAGTTGTATGGTATGCCTTTGCACGTGTTTGTGACGACCGCCAGTCGTAGGGCAGGAAACGCCCACCTCATCGCGAACAACTTGTATCCTGTGTTCAATAATTCATAGTGATTTATAAGCACGTGTTTATTATATCACCGGAAGCAGCTTTTAGCAGAGGTTTCATGGGATTACGGAAATTGTTTTGTCGCCTTAATGAACAACAATACTGACCCGGCTTTAGGGCAAGATGGAGCTCTTCAAACGTACAGAGATGATGACCGGTTGTGTTACTTTATCCTCGAGGAATGCATGGTCGTACAACGTATCAGAAGAGACACTTCGAGTCTTTCGTTGTCTTTGATAATTAATTTATTTACTTCAGAACATCATGATATAGCTCGTTATTTGACACAGGTACGTGCAAAGACACCAAAAGACATTGTTACATTTATGAATGTAATCAGAGTAAACTCCACGTCAAGTCGACCGCCTCCGTGGTCTAGTGGTAGAGCGTCCGCCCGGAGAGCGGAAGGTCCGGAGTTCGACCCCCGGCCGCGTCATACCAAAAGATGTTAATATATGGTACTTGTTGTTACCCTGTCTGGCGCTCAGCATTAAGGGGCTAAAACAAGGACTGGTCGGCTCGGAGTCAGTATACTGTGTCTAAGTGGGGTATTCATGTTAAACTGCGACATGGTATCTCAGTGAGCTAGCACTATAAATCAGCATCAGTCCGGTCTAGTACAAGCACACACACACGTCGCAACAATGCACGTCGCTATATAAGTGCAGTAATCTTGGACGCGACGTTAAACCCCATTTCACCTCCATGCCAGGTCACGTCCACGAAATTGACTGGATCAATAGTGGACCTTAAACCTAAAATAAGTGAGTGAGTGACTAAGGTTAAAATATTGTTCAGTAATTCTCTCTGAGCATTATACCACTTGTTCCATTGTTTCACTGTTTGAGAAGAGGCCCCTAGCAACGTGACGTAATATAAACGAATTATCATAATAATTGAAGATGACGTAATATATTGTTCATGATATCATGGCGATTTTATGACGTCGTTCCAACAATACAGTGGCTGAACTCATGTCTCCTTTTGATTTGTCTACATTTTCTCTGACAGAATACCATTGGTGGTATACAAACTAACCTATTTGCAGCTCGTAATTACCGATTATTTGTTCGTCGTGAATTAGTTGAAAATTGCAGGATTAATTCATAAGGGACACATTATCCGTGTTGCTGGTTGTTCGTAGTTTTTTTCCCTATGTTTGTACAGTACACGGTTACCCAGAAAGTGATGTTATTACTTACGTCACCGGATGCAGTATCGATATCTTCTAACTGACATCCAGGGGCATGGGATTGTCAGTCGTTTGAGACGGCGCAATTCGCTGTACAGAGCTGCTTCCCTATGATTGGGTGTAAATATCACGGTTCTCACTCATCACATGTCTATGTATGTCAAGACAATCCCCATACGGTTTTACCAAAGTCTAGGACCTGCATCATTCTGGGCCTTCATGCACACTAAGATCTCGTATAGAACAGGATTTTTTTTATGACATGGCGTACACGTAATGTAAAACGCGAGCAAGGGCATTGTGTTGACAAACCCGGGATGATAATCTGTGATTTGAATCAACGGTCTAGGGATCCTTGCAAGACTAAGGGACTTTACTCTGCAGACACCAAATGGCGTGTCTCAATATAATCCTTTCTTTGCCTTTCACCATGCCTGTCTCTTTGGAATACTGACACTGATAGCTTTACTGTTGAAAAAGCGACCATCTTCTAGCTGAATCAATCATTTTGCTTGTGCTTGTCGACGAAATCTGATTATTTTATGGAAAAGCCAAACAATACACTAATTAACCAACCATCCCGGGGGCGACCGCAGAGTGGTTAATGTATTCAGGGTCGGGCTAAAGCCGATCAATCATTCTGGATGTAAAAGTAGTGTTTTCAATGAAGAGCTAACGTAAGGTTACATGTAGATTTCACCGCTCCAAAACGTATTGGGAGCTGAACGCGCAGTCGGATGTGGAAATGCGCCTAACTCAGAGCTCTTTGTTGTCTGGAAGACTTCATTGCATGTATACACTCTCGTTGTCTATTTCTGTTTTCTGCCCAATCTGTATTCTTTCCTTGTGTAACTTATAATTGTAATTATGATTTATTTATTTCAAAACAATTTACCGACAATGATTGAAATATGGTATTGAAATTAAATATAAGTTTCCGCGGTGATGTGGTCGTCAAATCGTATATAAATCAGAGGTGGTTATTTAAAATGTGAAACCTGAAAGACAAATCAGAATCGAGTATTTTACAAATTCATGGTAGAATTTATATTACTTCCCCTCAGCATTCCTTCGGCATAACGTACAATTTTATTTAATAGTAATTCTGAATATTTGAAATATATGACGCCATGATAATATAAATAAAATAACACAACAGAACGCTCCCCAAATGACATTGTGCATTGACCTTTTGATTGATAGCTAAATCGCGCTAATGTCATGTCCTTCTTGTCCAGTCTCCGTTGCATGGTCTTTAAGCATCATCTCGGATACAATTTGACCAAGCTGCATATTGGCATGGATATCCCCCACATGGATACCTGAATTCGTTCAAGAGGTTCGAATCATCATCTGTGTAGTTTATAATCAGACTGTCCAAATAATTTCTTTGAGAGGCATTTAAAAGTATTAAGTAAGGATATAATTTATGGATGAACAACTTCTTTATTACAATTAGGAGCGACGTTTCGGTGTAGGTTCTAACACCGTTATCAAGCAAGAGGCGTACACTTGAGTGGAGAAGTCTGTTATGTACACAAAAAGGTAGTAAACATATTGACCGGCGAAGTCAGTAATATACTAAAGGAAAAGGGTGACGCCAGTAATATGAACAAAAGGATTTGGGTCTTTGATAAGTTGATGGTACGCCAGGTGTAATAGCTTTGATCATCACGGTTGATTAACGGTTGAAGTCTTTTGATATTGATGGCTTTTTGTAGTTTTCTGATTTTGAAGTCTTTGAGTGTGGTGGTGAGGGCTTTTACGTTATCCCACTGGATGCTGTGGCTTCGGTCTGATAGAGCTGACTTAGAGTCATCTTTAGAGACTGAGCTTTGATGTTCTTTAATTCGGGTTTTGAGGGGCCTCGATGTTTCTCCAAATTTAAGCGTGTCCACAATTGCACGGAATGTGGTACACTGCTCCTGATGGTTCTAGTTGGAGGCTGGATGGTACTTACTTACTTACTTACTTTGGAGATTTAACGTGCGCTTTCCGACTGATGCGTATTTCGCACACGGGCACGGCCAGGCCATTTAATGTGTTTCCGAAAGGGGCGAAGGTGGTCTGTGCAACCCAAGAGGGGGGTTTTAGGGGTTGCTTATATAGAATTTGGGAATTTTGAGATTAGGAATAGATGCCGATGGGATTGGGGAGGAGAACTAAGGGAGCTGGGTATGGTGGATGTTTGTTTGTTTATGTGATTTTGATTTGGTAGGTTATTGTGTTTTTAGATGCGTTTTATTAGTTCCGTTTTTATTAAGAATACGCCTAAGGCCTTGAAGTTTTCTAGTTTATTTTGTGGGTTTAGTATTGCTTCTAGAGTTAGAGCCTTGTTTAGATTTAGGGTGGTTTGTAATGCGGTTCGATGTGTTAGGTAGTGTGTGCAGTGGATGAGTGCGTGTTCTGGGGTTACTGGTTGTTTGCAGTGTGGGCAGTTACCTGTAGTGTGTTTTTTAAATTTTTTTAGGTGGTTATTTAGGTTGGTTTGTCCTGTTTGGAGTTTAGTGATTACTCTGTCGATTTTTGTCGATGGATGGAGAATTTTGGGTTTGGTTAGTGGTTTGCTGAGCACTTTTTTGATTTGGCTATTTGAGTTTAGATATAGGTTATGCCATTTTTTTGTGAGTTTTTGCTTGTTTACACTTTTAATTTCTGATTTTGAGATGGGTAAGTTTAAGCTTATTTCTGGGATTTTGAGGGATAGTTTAGCTGCTTTATCGGCGTTTTCGTTACCGTATATTCCTACGTGGGCGGGTATCCACAAGAAGGTTATTTGTTTGCCTGCCTTAGTTAGGTCGTTGGAGCTTTTAAGTATTTGATTTATTAATTTAGGTCGGTTTTTGGTATTTTTGTTTTGGAGGGCTTGCAGTCCACTTAGGGAGTCGGTAAGTATTAGGATATTTTTGTGTTTTTTGGATTCTTGATTATGGAGGGCTGAGGCCATGCCCATTAGTTCTGCCGTGAATATTGATTGGTTGTTTGGGAGTCGGAAGGATCGTGTGGTTTTAGTTGGTTGTGGGCTGGATGGTGGTTTTCCTCTGGCTTAAATTGGGTTCTGAATGGTGTGAGTTCTTTTGTAAACTACATCAATGTTGGCCTATTTCTTTACGAGTCTCTTGATTGTGTGGCTCAATCAACCGTGACCAAGGCTATTACATACCCCTGGCGTACCATCAACTCAACAAAGATCCCAATCAGTCATAATCCTTTTGTTTATATTACTGGCTTCACCCTTTTGTTTATATCACTGACTTCGCCGATCAATATGTTTACTACGCTTTTTGTGTACATAACAGGCTTCTCCACTCCAGTGTAACTACATCTGATTTCATTTTTGTCTGTTTGTTTCTACTAGAAATGCATATACATTTAAATTGTCAAATTGTCATGACATGATGAGTATATATTACTGATAGATTCTTTTGTATTGAACGTCGTGCTATGCTATTCCATTCCTTTTGTATTTTATACTACTACTGCCACTGTGGTTATTACCACTGTTATTACAATACCTCTAATACATGTCAAGCATCATATTAGTTATCCAATAATTATATAATGCGCTGTACAGCTGTAAATGATATTGTTTATCTCTATGTGTATATGGGCCAATGGCCTTTCATACAATAAAGATTGATTGATTCAAGTCTATTGTATAAACACTGCCTCCTACCTGTATATATACTTGTCAGCCATTCACCGAACCTACACCGAAACGTCGCTCCGAATTGTTATAAGGAAGTTGTTCATTCATAAATCTTATCCTTACTTAAACTCTCCACATGTTAAGAGTTTTTTCATGTACATGTATGTTAGTGTTGATCTTGTTTTCAAATTACAGTTTCTCTCGAAATACTTTCAGGGTCTTGTAAACACCTTCCGTTCAGAAACTGCAAGACTGGTGAAGCTATAATATGGTATGCATCTTTCTGTGAAGTCCTTGCTTCTATTTTTCAGAACATCCAGCGCACAGTGAACGTTTTTTCATGTTTCAAACACGAGGTCGAATGACTTTTCAAGTCTTTTAGGGAACATATAATTTGTATAAAAAAATCCCAGGCCCCCATCTAGAATATCAACTCAACTGACAATTATGATGATCGTATTTACAACGAGGCTACCACATAACTAAATCGACTGAAAATAAATACGTGTCTAACTCAATAATCGTCAAGGACCAGACCAATAGCCAGCAATCGCAATAAACAATGTACACCCTCGGAGTCCTGAACGATCCCACATCAGCATGTTATCCCAACTAGATGACAGCGGCCTGTAAAGAATCGTGTCTGGTCCAGACAAACGAGTGAATGATATTATGAGCATCATCCCACGGCTTCGGGGTACGAGGACACTCACGTCACCAAGCCTGACCTCCCGATCCATTCAGGGGCCTCTTGCCACAAGCATACGGTGCTGTGGACATATTCTTTACCGGAATCCTGACTAATCCTGGCATCTTTTCCACCAAATATTACAGTTATATTATTTACTGTTGTGTTGTGGTTAATAGTGAAATGACGCTTCAAGAAAATACTTTTTTATTTCAAGTCTCTGTCTTCATAACACTCATATCTAAAGTATATAACACCACTCAAACCACACATACGCTCAGGGAGCAATACAAAACAAAGGTTTCTTGGACAAATAGCACCTTCCCGACATAAGGCTTCATACATACGAGGCTAGACCCCAAGCGGACTACCGATGTCCTTAGTGTCGGTAGCTAGCAAGTAAACATTACTGGAACTTGACTATCGCATATCTGGTAGGAATGCTGCGCAGTTTCACTGCTATTAGGCACGTTCAGAGACAACCATATAATCTCATCAACAATTGTGCATAGGAGCATTTAACAGGCACGTGAGACACATCGTCCCGTGTTAGAAAGTCAGAAAGCATGTACATGGACATATATTAGCACGAAGCACTACATTGTTACAATTGGTGAATATAAACAGCTTTAAAAACAGTTATACACTTGCTTCTGAATAAACGGTTAACAGCCTTGACCAATCAGGAAGCATATTTTTGTCATTATTGCCATGAAAGTATTGGTTGGAAGTTGGTACGCATAATACTGTTACAGGCTACATAATCACTCGTCATTAGGATGCATGCCTTGGAATACTAGTACTCAACAAAGAGTATGCAGCTCTACGACTAATCTTAATGCAAGAACCTTGTACATATTGCTTCGACTTTGGTCCTCTCCCATCGCTTAACATTGACGTGCGCAATCGAGGAGCTAACATCGTGACTTTCAAACGACCCCTAACTCCCGTTATTTATCATAGACTCATTGGAATCTTAGCGCTAGCATGAGTGAACATGTTATGAAATAGTAGGAATCATAAAACCGATTCTGCTTTCAGCAGACATTTCTCAATATGGGAAAAGGTTTTATCGCTTTGTTGACATCGACAGTTGTTCGCCACGACAATCGCAATTCCATTTGTTTAACATCGACTCACAACAGTTGTTCGACACGACTATTGTCATTCCCAGTGTTTAACTTCGATTATTGGCATTTGTGCGCCACGACTATTGAAAATCATAATCTAAAAGCATCGACTCACGACAGTTGTTCGACACGACTATAGCAATCCCCATTCTTTATCGTCGACCCATGACAGTTGTTCGCCACGAATATCACAATCCCCATTCTTGAACGTCGACCCATGACAGTTGTTCACCACGACTATTGCAATCCACATTCTTTAACGTCGACTCATGACACTTGTTCACCACGACTATCACAATCCCTATGCTTTAACGTCGACCCATGACAGTTGTTCGCCACGACTATCACAATCCCCATTGTTTAAACGTCGACTCACGACAGTTGTTCGACACGACTATAGCAATCCCCATTCTTTAAAGTCGACCCATGACAGTTGTTCGCCACGACTATCACAATCCCCATTCTTTAACATCGACTACATGACGCTTGTTCGCCACGACTATCGCAATCCCCATTCTTTAACGTAGACTCATGACAGTTGTTTGCCACGACTGTCGCAATCCCCATGCTTTAACGTCGACCCATGACAGTTGTTCGCCACGACTATCGCAATCCCCATTCTTTAACGTCGACTTATGACACTTGTTTGCCACGACTGTCGCAATCCCCATTCTTTAACGTCGACTCATGACAGTTGTTCGCCACGACTATCGCAATACCCATATATAACGCCGACCCATGACAGTTGTTCGCCACGACTATCGGTATTATCTCCCAATGTTTAACATCGACTGAAAACAGTTGCAGCAATCCGATTATTATTTAACATAGAATCACTTCAGTTGTTGTGCAATTACTACTGTAACCTACTCCCACTGCTCAGCATAGACACAAGACAGTCGTAGAGCTGCGAACGCCTTGAAAACGTGCTTTCCCAAAGAAGGCTTGATTTAATTCAGGGTTTTACATGACGCAGAAAGTGCGTGCAGTAAGCACAAATATATAAAATTGACGCCGAAAAAATATATATTGCATCCTGCAGGACGCATTATAATATTCATTATACTTAATTCTTGACAAGAAATATAAAGGTCCTGCAAATAAAGTAATTATCAAATCTCACAATACATTACACAACACCATTTCATTACTTGTCAGGACCATCATATGTCCTTTAAGGACCCTTGAAAACAATGATTAGGGGTCCTCCGGAGCCCTACTTCTGTAGGCCATGGTAAAATCCTGAATTCAACATGTGCCCCCTTCCAGACCATCTCAAATCTTCAGCACTTCATAAACAAACAACATTCATCAAACGTCTTTCACGCGCAACATTATGAAAACATTTATATAAGACACTGTTCCATTTACATTGCAAAAATAAAACTATTCCGTAAAATAGTCCGAATAATGTGCATGAAAAACATCCATGAAAAAGTATGTTCAATAACCTTGGTAAAGGATAGTAACAAAATATAATATACATATAGATTTCATAGTGCAGCATGTTGTGGGCAAGGACTCCGAGCATGGTTGCAAGGAAAAATATTTTCTTCATTTGGTCATGTGTCATTTGGTCAGAGAGACAGTTTATACAATGGCAGATTCGGCGTAGCTTTCTCCTGGATCACATTCAATGGTTACGTGACTCTCTTCATTATCAAAGTACGTACCACGCTGGCTCGTCCTTGATTTACGGTGTCCATTTACAATTGGTTTTCTAAGAGATACGTTCTCATCCTCGAGTTTTTCAATAACTTTGGCCCAGTGTCTTATCTTCCCGGAACCAAACACCAGATACACAAGGGCACCAAATATGTAAACTCCTGCACATATGTAGAACGCTGTTTGCCACTCTTCTTGGCTTTTCTGAAACAGAACAGTCACTTTATAATTGATGTTAGTGAGTGAGTGAGTGAGTATGGTTTTACGCCGCTTTTAGCAATATTCCAGCAATATCACGGCCATAAATGGGCTTCACACATTGTACCCATGTCGGGAATCGAACCCGGGTCTTCGGCGTGACGAGCGAACGCTTTAACCACTAGGCTACCCGACCGCCCCTTAATTGATGTTAAGTTGCCTATGCTATATGATTGTATATAAACATCATATATGGTAATCTATCTCTGTACGTAATATATGCACTACAGTCAAAGAGAAAACGCAATTCGTCTTTAGCAGTATTGCTGGTACACGTTCTATATAATCTATTTATACTTTCGCCATCTTCACAACTGGCATCACCACGTAGAGGCATTGCATGTGTTCATGAATCACTATGAAGAAATCCCAGGCCCACACAGGAGACGGTCTGGTCCGTACGATCTATTGATCGTGTCTATGAAACATAGGGGGATGTTTTTTTACGGTAGTTACATCAGATATATTCCAGTTATATCAAAGCTGCCTGTAAATATGGGATTATCGGTCCAACAAAGTTGTCAGCATGAGAACTGATGCACATCGTTGAATTGACACACATTCCAGAAACCGACCCTTAGTTGGTCTTAAGAGCAATGTGTGAAGCCCATGTCTAGCGTCCCCGGCGTGATATTGCTGGAATATTGCTAAATGCGGTGTAAAACCAAACTAACTCACTCAATCACTCTTATGAGCGCGGAGGGGTGGGAGCTAATCTGCCCTGGAATCATTCGAGGGTAATAGAATAATTTATACATATTGAATCATTAAGAAATCATTGCGATTTGGATTAATATGTGTAGAAAACATTAGTTAGATGTACAATGTTGTTCCCTGTGATTGATCTGCAAGTGGTCAGTTACATACCAGTATGTTTCGACACATATTTTATCATTAGGTTCTAGTCAAACGGAGTGAATGCGTTTCCATTTTTATCAATACGCAGAAAGGCAAAAGGGCCGCAACTCTGCACAGCATGTTTCATCAACTCCGATCACAACCGCAAATATAAGTGTGTTTGTTTAGGTGCACTGAACGACATTTAAGGCATTTATCAAGCACATTTCATCACTAGAACCTTAGCTGCTGTGGTACTAGGCCTCGGCAAGTTACTGTTATAAAACTTGCATATACCTCGTGTGGTAATCCCCACCCTCTACCAGTGGCAGATTATTTGACAACGTATCTCCATAATAGATCATCAGGGTAAGCTTGAATTCTTCACGTCTATTTTTACCAGAAAGTCACGACTCAGATCGGAACGACATTTTACTTGTACCATGGCCACATGTTCCCGTGTTTTTCAGGTAAAAAACTCACTTGCCTTTGCATGTGTTTGTGACGGGTGCCGCCTGTGGGGCAGGACACGCTCACCTTTCCGCGAACACCTGTTATCATCGCTATTTGATAATGATTCATAAACACATGCTCATAATATAGTCAGAATCGTACAACCGACTGCTTTTACCTGATATTCCTTATGAATATGGAAAGGGCTTTGTCGCTTTTATTTTCATAAGGGAGAGATACACGTTTTCGAATTTTTAATACACGTACATTTAGTTGTATAGGTACATCCGATGACAGTAAATAATTAGCAATTTTCTGCCTGTCAGGTGACATAGAATCGTTTGGGTTTGATCCATCAACGACGAAGAAACGATAATGCATGTGGTATCTCCCTGAGTCACAATTCTGACTTGCCTGTTGCACATGATCTTGGGAAATAATATATATGTAATGCTATATGTTTCTTTTCTGTCTGAAACTACCACTTACATTGGGAGTTATAGCACCAACGATGTAGGGGGCCAAGATTCCAGGCACAGTTGCAGCCGTGTTGGTTATGCCGAACAGGGTGCCGGCGTAGTTGGGGGCGATGTCGCCGTGGTTGATGAAGTAACCGGAGAAGTGAAAACCACACAACCCCACAGCCCCACACAGCAGTATGACAGCCCCGACGTGCTGTGTGCAGTCCATGTGGGCCACGCCTATCAACGACACCGCCGGCCCCAGCATTCCTGTGCGATGTGAAATAGTTTGTGAGCTGTAAGTCTGCATTGGGTAAGAACAGGGGAGCAGACATTCACTGCACTACACCCACTGACGTATATATCATATGTTATCCTTATGTTGTCTTTGAAAGGCATTTAGAAGTGATACACACAAGGAAGAACATTTATGGACGTTAACTTCATTATTGTGAGGAACACAACTTTTCGGAGTTTATACTTACTCCTTTATCGGGTGAACAATGTTATGAGGCAGAGGAGTATGTATATACTCCGAAACGTTGTGTTCCTCATAATAAAGAAGTTGACATCCATAAATTTTCTTCCTTACCTTCTGTTGCTATTAACAGTACTTTGATCCATGTTTCTATACTTAGAGTTTACCAGTGTTAGGGCTATTATTTTTGGGGTAGTCGTTATACGCTTGTTGTATTTAAACGCGTAACTAAAAAAGACAGGGTGATGATCGAAAAAGCAATATGATTACAAATGAATACATTATAACGTGGTCAGTAAATAATGACGTCAGTACATAAGTAAAAATCAGGAACCAGTAATTATTACACATATACTCTCGTGTATACCACTAACGTTACGGGCCGAGACGTTGAGCCTGATATAAATAAGTGTTTTTGTCAAAATATTAACAGACTCGGCGAATATTTAAAAAAATGTCAATTGCATTCCATTTTTTAATCTAAGGATAGCAGGTCTGTAAACAAAGTATCAAAAACAAACGCCTAATTGAAGTATTATCATATTAATTGTCGCACAGAAATATTTCCTTGAAAATATATCTTATGAACTCGCATTCGTTTAATCATATGGCCATCTCACCTACCTATGAGAGACAAAACCTTCCGTGTCCAAGTTACGGAGAGTATTTTCCGTAATATGAGAAAGTCCGCAAGCAATCCTGATATCGATATGCATGCCCAGAAACACAGGTATGGAAGCATGGAATACACTCCGTTCTGAAAGAGAAAATGCGTTGAAGACAATGAATTTAATAAAATTTAAATTATCAAATCTACATACGATTTTACTTCTATTTGTTATCAGTGAATTTTGAAACGGTAGTCGTGTTAAAAGTTACAACAATGGGAGAAGTTTTAAAAGATTTTCAGAAATATATTATATCACATAAAGTAGATACGATCATCGTAGCACAGTTTTGTTACTGGCGTTTTGTTGTATAGGTATACAGTCACTCGAGTGAGTAGTTTGGGTTTAACGCCGCCTTAAACAATATTATAGTTATATCACAGCGTGTCAGCCTTATGTGGGAGGAAAGCCCCAAGTGATGCAGGTCTCAGACGTTTACCACTTTGGTGAAACCCACGAGCTCGGGTATAGTGCTGAAAAACCAAGAAACATATTCGGGGTAACCGGGTTTCGAACCCATAAAAAAATCATAAGTTTCTGCCGTGTCCAAGGGACGCAACTCTGCAGAGCAAATTGCGACGCCTTAGACGACTGGGCCGCCCAAAAGTGCAGTGTAAATAATATATCAAGATAAATAAACATTATATAAACTCAATATTCACGTACCTGTTTGATATCAAATTTGAGCACCTCCTTCATGTATGTGGGTATCTGTGTCAACAACATGTATATCCCATAGTTGCCACAGGTGTGAGCAATGATGATGGCCCATACCGGGCCTGATGAAAATATAGCCCGCCAAGGAGTTGTTCGAGCCTGGAAACATGACAAGCAATATGTAACACTCCTACAGTGACTGAGTAACTTGGAGCTAGCGCCGCAAGTATGGGTGTGCATTCATTTGTTTGGTTCACTTGGACAGTTTGCAGGTATTCGATCACGGACACGCATTCAAACACTCTGGTCTCTTCAAATTCAGTTCAAGATTGAAGTTTCTAAATATTCGGAAACAGCGCTTCTGTATACATGTATATTCATGCTAGGAAGACCCAATGGTCTCTTAGGAATGTGAATTAGCCCGTCAGTGTTTACGTCAGTGTTTACGTATTGCTCTTAATTGTATTAAAGAAGTTGTTCATCCATAAATTCATATCCTTACTTAGTGGTAAGGTCATTTCAAAAATATATTCTCGTGATAAAACGTATGAACGTCAAATAGTCGTTCAAACGCATATAAACGTCAGTATCGTGGTCAAATAGCAGAATGAATTCAAAAGCAGTGTAAACGACACATTTACAAAACATCGAACAATGACTCTTTGTTACATCCTTTGAGGGTTTTGAGACTTAAATATCATACTACTGATACATAATGAACCTGTCTGCGCCGTTTGTTACTTACTTCGAGGCCCTGTGCTATTTGTGGAAATGGTGGAAATGTCTGACCGTACCTTTGGTTGTTTCTTGCTCTCTTCGAGGCTTTTTGAGATGTACTTCCTCTCCAGGTCTGATATTCCGGGGGTCGAATCTGGCTGATCGTGAGCAAATATCGTCCAGATAACACACCATAAAAGCCCTAAGCTTCCTGATGAAAAACAATAAAAGATTTCATTAAATATTATACATTTGGTCAATATACGCTATTTTCTTCATAAGTGCTGTGTCCCTTAGAAATGCCAGTACCCTATGATCGTGGGTTCGAATACCAGACTATGATGTTTGGTTTGTCAGCACCATACGCGGGCTCGTGGAGGTAAAGGCATAATTCCGGAATCCTTCCCATATTTAGCTGACCCGTCGTGAAATGATTTTCAAAGCGGCTTTGAACCCTACAAATCTACTCACTCACTCAACCACCCCAGACAATTTACAATGTTACTGTAAAATGGTGTTGGTAAATTGAACCTTGTCACCAGGTATTCGCAAAAAGGTGAGCGTATCCTGCCACACCGTCCACTCCAGTCATAAACACATGCAAAGGCAAGGCAAAGTTACCTATGACATAGAAAATAGACGCCCATCCACCGTCAAAACCATAACTGCATAGCAGGCCTCCTATAGGGAATATCAAAGCGTTACCAAACTGCCCCCCTGAAACAAATAACACAGTATCAATAAACGTTTTCTCTGGGTCTTCATTCTTCATTGTTATAATCTACCTAAAATTTGATAAACCTAAAATAAAGTGTCATGGGTAAGAGAAGCAGGTCATATCTTTAGCATACCGGTTTTCTTATGTTCCTCTATGACACGATATCTATCAAGATATGAAGAAGACAGTAATAAGAAAATGATAACTAATACTTATAAATATAACACTGCAACGCCAGAGAATAATCAGTCTCGATTATCTGACGAAACATATTACATTTGACGGAAAAGGCAAATTAGAAATGAAAATTTTGGATCACTTAAAGTCAGTCATGACACCAGGTGTTCAATAAAAGGCTAAGTATGTCCTCTCCTACCGGTAGCCCTGACCAGTAACACAATGTCCATATAAAACGTAAGTGTTTGTTTGTCAGTCAAGCTAAAGGTTTTGAATAAATTCTGTAAAATAATTGGAGCGTAAAATAGACAGATGGGAAATGATAAGCATGAGACAGAAAAAAGTTTACTTATGCGTTCAATTCAACAGCATCTGATATATAAACAAATGCGTGTCAAAGCCAACGTAAAGGGTAACTTATGAAACACCCATTTCCTTAATTCGTCCTATCATTATAAGTCCTCCTGTGACTTACTCATTCTATGACTAAAAATGATATTTTCTCAGCTACCTTCAATGTGTTTTGTTTCTGACAAATCAAATAACTAGTTCTGTGTACAGTGTTGCTTTTATTTACCTGACAATGATATCCCAATGAGTCTGCTCCGTTCCCAAGGTGGTGACCAGTTCGCCCAGAGAGCTTGTGAGGCCGGATACATGACTGACTGTGAGAGAAAGATTGAGTTAAGCTTAGGCATTACTGCACAAAACATATGAACTTAGGAATAAGTGACCAGGAGAGGTCGTTGTTTCTACAACGAATAAAAAACACAAAGGCATATGTTGATTGTGTAACCTCAGGGCGAAACCTCATAACGGGTTCTCTCTCTTTCAATATTTATAAGATACATGATGTGGTTCGATACTGGCTAAAAAAGGTGCCTGACCCGATTACACATAACAAGGCCCCCATCAACATATATTCGTAGCGTTGAGCCTATCGTATATAAAGGTTTCACATACTTATGACTGTTTGGATCAGAACCCACGTCGTCGAATGCTTTACAATATCGTTTCTTGTTCGGTAAAATTCCGATACATCCACGATTAGCAACAAGAGAGTTTCATTACCTCTTCCCAATACGTGTTTGGACGATCAACTGTTACAAATGAAACACTGTTCAAAGAGACGTTAATGTCACTCACTCAACCTCAACATATATCAGCATTCCATTTGTAATGAGTAATTATTGTCTGGTGCTTGCAGAGATAATATGTAACATGGGTGAAACTTGTCCCTTATCGTACGTCGTTAAATTTAGAAATTTTGATTATTTCTGAAAGTGGACTCACCTCCCCAATGCCCACAATGACGCGGACAGCTAGCAGGAGATAGGGACTTCCACGGGCCGCAAATGGAGTCAGCATATTCAAGATGGCGACGGGGAACATACCGGCAGCAATCACCTTCTTGGCGCCAAATCTCTCGCTCAGCATCCCTCCGGGTACTTGTAGGACTAAATAGCCCCAGAAAAACGCCCCCAGTAGCAACCCTTGTAGTGACTTGTCCCATAAAAACTCCGCCCCCTGAAAAAGACATTATTACAACCTGTAGATTAATTATATTTTTCAAATCACAAGTGGGGTTGCGAAAAACACTCTGGCAGAAGCATGTCTTGCAATATCTTACACCTACTGACGAGCAAATAAGTGGAGAGAGAGAGAGAGAGAGGGGGGGGGGGGGGGGGGGGGGGGGGGGGTGTATGATATGATGAGTAACGTATTTGGCTGTACCGAATGACAGTCACTCTCTGCTTTTTACAGGCAGATTGGGTAGACGAGGGACATGCTCTGGAGTGTCAGACCTCCAGCCACCAATCCCAAAGAAAGACACGGCTACGGTTTCCTACGGTGACTGGCAGGTGGCTGGTAGTCACCACCCTGTCAGCCGCTGGGAGGTTTGCTGAAGAAGGCCACGATACAAGAGCAAGGCTTAGAGACCAACACGAGGCGCAACGCTGACACCGGAACCCCGACTTCACAGACATCGATGGGCTCGAACACAGCGACACTGGCAGAACAGAGTCATGTTCACAGACGAGAACAGATTCCAGCTTTTCAGATAATATGGAATATTTCGTGTCTACCGCCGACGAGGAGAACGAACGTCACGTTGTTGCGTTCAAGACGTCCTACCGTCTGACAAGGTCTTAGTCGTCCTATCCGTTTTGCAACAGAAACCGAGACCCTGTTTCAGCAAGATAAAGCAAAGCTCCATACAAGACAAGATTTCATGCAAGCCCATAACGTGGCCTTCTTGCCCTTGTCAGCACGATCAACACACGTATCACCTATAGGACACTTGTCGGACCTTGAACCTCACATTAAAGCACGACTAGTTCGCCCTTGTAACAGGGATCAGTTAGCACAGGCCTTCCGAGACAAATGGCGTCGAATCCCATTTCTTGAGATCTGACTTCTCACACCTTCTGCACGTTGTCGCGTTTGGACTTGATATTTACGATATTGACTGACAATATGTGACATTCTGAAGGTAAAAAGCGAGTTTCATGTGTTGATTTCATTCTAGATGGTTGATCGATTACTGAACAACTGATCCCATCTTCAAAACTGTGGTATGCCTTATTTTTTGTTCTTCTCATTCAAGGCATAACTTGTAATGATGATGGTAATTCATGTCTTTTGCCAATACAAGAGTATGCAATGATATTGGTCCTGTTCTTTTTTATGAACAAACAATGTTGGCTGGTGACGTTTCCCCTGCTCATGCGTTCACAAAGTGATGATTACAAGAGTGAAGGTCTTCAGGAACCCATGCTTGTAACAGGTCGGGTTGTCAGACTCCGTATCCCGATCGTAGATCGATGCTCATGTTAATCACTGTATTGTCTGGTCCAGATTCTATTATTTGCAGACCAATGTCATTCAGCTGGAATATTGTGGAGTGCAGCGATAAACAAGAAATAACCACAAACAAGAAACAACCAAACAAACAGGTGTGCACCTGTCTCTCGAGGCGGTGGGGTAGCCTGGTGATTAAAGTCTAGCTCGTGAAGCCGAGAACCGGTCCCGTGCCCCACATGGCTACGATTGATGAAGATTATTCCTCAACCCCGCCATCAATTCGTGCTGAGAAGTTGATTGGTTAATGCACTGCCGTCCCTAGCAACTTGACGTCATATCAGTACATTCTTTGCAAATAATTTGAACCATTCCAGATAGTTATATAAATAAAAGTGAACCCTTTCCATATTTATAACAAAAAAAGTGGATTGTACGATTCCGACTATTTCATTATAATGTGATCCTGAATCACAATCAAATAGTGATGATAGAAGATGTTACAAAATATCAACGCCAGAGAATAACCAGCCTCGATTATCCGAAGAAACAGGTTCCATTGGTCATGTAAGGCAACATGGCGGTGAAAATAAAAATACATTCGGACAACTACAGCAAAAAAGTAATTAAATCGTTCTCCGTAAATAAAACTGAATATTAATATAGTGAATGAAAGAAATACCTCCGTATGCGACGAAGCTTGAACGGGACATTGTTGTGCGTCAGTTGTTTTAGAGTAATGACTTGTTGTGTTAGACGTAGTGCTGTCAGGTGATGCGGTATAAGTATTGTTATAATGGTCGTCTCTGACCATGCAGACCATTGCTATACTGAGATTCACCCTGAGAGCATAGAGACACGCAAAGCCGAAGAAACACAGCACAGATAAACGGAAGCGCTTCGACGTCCACCATGGCACTGCAACAAAAGAGTGGACGTGAATGTCAAATCAGATTTACAAGAAACTATACATTTGTTAATCAGTATATCTCATATCTGAGATGGCGATATAGCCTCGTGTTAAACCGTTCGCTCAGCGTTGGTTTGATTCCAATCATAAGCTTTGAAAACTATTTTAGAGGTGTGCATTAAAGTCCCATAAGAATTACGTTGACCCAACCTCCCGTACTTGGTACGACTCCAATTCATGTTTCCTCTGTAAAGAGCTAGACTCGTTGTGCAAAAAGAGCAGAAACCAGTGATCTTGTGTTCAAATCCCGGTTCGTCCTCATTACTATTGTGGGATTACCCCATACTCGTGCATCTGGTTCCCCAAAGTGGTACACATCTCATACCTGCAAAGTAGCGCTAAATCAAACTCACTCACCCTCTCTGACAAGAGGTGTTTGTATGTGTATGGTTTCAATAATGAGTGTCAGCAGAGTAGAGCGATGGTACAATGGCTAGTGCATTCGATCGCCGTGCACAAGATCTGGGTTCAACAAAAGAAATAGATAAAGCTACGACGAGACAGACTAACCTTGTCGGGGGTCGATACCCGCTGATTTGATACTTTCTTGGTCTACTGACACAGGTCTTTGGTTGTAATGGTGCAGGTCCCAACTTGACTGACGCAAATACACCGTCTTCACTGGACCCTCTTCATCTTCTTGAAGCATCGTTGACTTCTGCAACAGTTGCATTCTGATTTAGAATTAACACATCGTCAAGACTTCACCACGTCCAAAACTAGTCTAGTGATGTGAGGTGAAATAGTTTTAACGCCGCTTTGAACAGTATTCCAATATATCACGACGTGTCAGCTTACTGTAGGAGGAAAGTGATGCAGGTCACAGACGTTTACCACTTTGGTGAAACCGTTGACCATGGGTATGATGTTGATAAACCTAGAAACATAATCGGAGCGAACCGAGATTCGAACCCACAATCATAGGTTTCTGGCGTGTCCAAGGGATGCAACCCTGCACAGCGCATTGCTGACCAATCCGTGCCCGGGGGTCCTGACTAACAGGGTCGGTACTCATAGGTTTCCTCTGTTTTTATCATCCAAAGCAACAAACCACTCTTTGCCAATTTGAAATACTATACCGCTACTCATATGTAACCGACAAATACTACCTCGGCAGACTGGCGTACTTCATATGGAAACATCTGCTTCTCACAACATCAAACTCGATCACTGCCATATAGGCGCGTATGCCGCCGCTAGAGATGTAGTGAATATATATTGATAATTCATGACACTATATACATGTGTTCGTAACAGTATTTATACTCTCCCCGATACTTATTTCTGTCGTACTTGACTCATGGTTCTTTAATGATGTGGTTGTTTGATGTTTAAAACCAGCAATATGACGGCGGCCCGTCAATAACTGATTCTGGACCAGCAACCTTGTGATTGCTATTATAAGCATATATATTGAATAATGACAGGGCCCGGTCATTGGCAGCAAGTTGAATTCGTGTCAAGGACACAGCACTCATGATCAGTCGTGTCATTCCGGGTCAAGCCGAGTGGGTTACGGAAAAGGGCGAGTGGTGACGGATGAGAAACAAAACATTTGTCCTAATTCGTACTTCACGTGGCAACCACGCAGTCAAATATTACTCTATGTACATAGCGACATTATATCCGTTTCTCACAGGACTCAGTCTATCCTGCGACAAATTTAAAACCATAGCAGATAATTGACGCACAGCATTAACCCAAGCAATCATATCATTGTATAACGTGCTACATCTCTTATAATGTAATGCAGATACTGACAGCTGGATTGATGGATCGTGTGATCATGTTAAATTCACATATTTCAAAACAGGAAGATATTGGCGCGACGTACTAATGATAGGTTTCCTTAGCTCACGTAGCTCATGCATGTGCGCATAGCTGATACCACATACAGGCGTCGTGCACGCCAAGTTACAGGATCCTGATGATTCCTGTTCACATGACCTTACGCCTTATTAGGGAGTATCCCTGTAATAATAATAATAATAATAATAATAATAATAATAATAATAAAAATAATAATAATTTCTAGGAGAAGAGGAATATTTCAGGGAGATTCTTTTAGCCCTTTGCTTTTCTCTTTGCCACTAAATCCTTTAAGCTTTATGTTCAGCAAAGAGGAAGGTTATCACCCGGGACCTCCTCAGCACAGATCCCTAACACCCCTTACACACCTCCTTTACATGGATGACCTTGAACTTATTGCCAATGGAGGATCTACACTCAAAAAACAGACTCTGCTTGTCGAGTCCTTCTCTAATGATATCGGCATGTCATTTGGACTCGACAAACGCAACACTCTTCATTTAAAACGTGGCAAGGTAGAAGAGGGAGGATCAGTCAGTTTACTTGGGGGAGGAGTTATTGATCATCTCGTGGACGGTCAGGCCTATACGTACTTAGGGATGCAGATAAGGGATAAACTCCAAAATGCCCATGCAAGGACGAACTTCGGGCAGAGTACAAATGTAAACTTAAGAAAAAGGATGTGGGACATAATCTCAATGTCAGTGTTGATGGGTCTGTACTGCTGGTCGGTGCAGAAATGAGTGTCAACCAAGACAAACGCCATATAAAATCGACCCAGTCCACGTTTTTCAAGGAGAGGCTATCTGAACGACCACTGCATCGAGTTTATGTGCAGTGTGTTGAGAAGGTAGGCAACCCTGCAGAGTCCTCTGCTTGGATGAGGTCGGCTGGCCTGAAAAGTGAAACAGAAGGCTTTCTCTTTGCTGCTCAGGACCAATCACTTCCCACTCGAAAACTCGAAATTTTGCATTAAAATGTAAATATGTAATGTCGATTATGTAATTTAGTGAGACTTTCCAACGCATTGTCAGTGAATGCCCCGCTTTGGCACAAATGCAATATCTTAAGCGACGTGATGAGTGGCTCGATCATTTTATTACCGTCATCGCCATGTTGGGGTTTTGACACAGAGGTCCATCCATGGTACGACCCTGAATACGTTGGGGGCGTCATGCAAAATGATAAATACAAAATCCTTTGGAATAGGCCCGTATACAGCCGCAGACATATCCAGGCCAACAAACCTGATCTTGTCCTCTTTGATAAACCCAATGAAATCATTTATATCATTGAATTTTCTATCTCTTTTGACAAGTTGAGGAAAAACATGGCAAATATGCAGACCTCGCGTTCCGAATGTCACACATTCCAAGTACCAAGTTGTCCGACTCCCCATTGTCCTCGGTGCCGTAGGTTTGGTACCTCCCAAATCTGTTGACTGACAACGGGAAAGTACCTGGGTTTGCTTCCAGGAATACAGGCCTTCTGACAATCTTTGTAATGAAGAAGGCTGCAGTGTTGGGGAGTCTTCACGTTCTCCGAAAAGTTCTGGGTGGGTTTGACTAGGCAGCGCTTCCTGGAAGAAGTCCCATGCGCTGGACTGCGTGTAAAGGGGGCAAGGGCCCTGAGCAGATGATGAGCCTGACCAGCCTGACTGTGCCAGGATCACTCAAACCCTCTTTGCTGCATTTTTAATTTTAATCTGTAAATAATAATAATGCCTTAGGAGAAACCACATGTGCTACATGTGCTTCAGAGTTGGGGCTGATGTTGTGCGTTGTACCCTGGACCAATACTAAGTGTGTCCAAGGATCACTACACATTTCGAGATATGTCAAGACGACAATATACACCAGGGAAGACAGCTTTACAACACTGCTAACTAAAATTAAAGAAAGTATTCCGAGTTCGTTTTTTATGTAATTGATAATTGAAAGAAATGTTGTTAAATTTAATTTTGTCCATTTAAGCATCACTCGTTCCTGAATGTGTTTGGAAATAGTAATATGGCTGGATAACTTTGTATAAAAATACATTAGATCAATGAAGTCTGTGGTAAGAAATGAATTTGCAACCACATATTTCCCCTTCCACGTATGAAATGTATATTTGCGCCGCAAAAAGCAAACTGATCGATTTCCAAAGACAAAATATCTAAGATACCCATCAGCAATTGTGTATAATGCGAAAACATTTCTTTTAATTTCTAAAAGTTTTAAATTAAATTATATTTAAGAACATAAAACCATATAGAAGTTTTCTTCGGGTGCTGTCTAAGCGCCAGTACAGTTCATATTTTGGATATGATATTGCTAACTATATATATTTTCAATTGCAAATCAGACACATGATAAAATCACCTGAGAGAAATAGTTTCTGTTGCCCTTAAGTTAATAATATTAGAATACTTTCCAGAAGAAATGCATACGAAATTTCATTTCACTGGATCCATGAATCCAGAGTTCTCAAGCTACATAGACTGAAGCCAATACCGTTCACAAGACAAATGTTCAGATTTACATATTTCCAGATTAACAAACCGTGGTTGTTATTGTTTCAAAATGAATACACACTTTCCTTCAATAAAGCATTCGGAAGACACGGTGTCCGGACAAGCGAGACCGCCTCCGTGGTCTAGTGGTAGAGCGTCCGCCCGGAGAGCGGAAGGTCCGGGGTTCGATCCAAAACCGCGTCATACGAAAAGACGTTAAAAGATGGTACTTGTTGTTACCCTGTCTGGCGCTCGGCATTAAGGGGCTAAAACAAGGACTGGTCGGCTCGGAGTCAGTATACTGTGTCTGAGTGGGGTATTCATGTTAAACTGCGGCATGGTATCTCAGTGTGCTAGCACTATAAATCGGCATCAGTCCGGACTAGTACAAGCAGCCACACACACACATACACGTGCATGCACGTCACTATATAAGTGCAATAATATTGGACGCGACGTTAAACCCCATTTCACCTCACCTCACCCGCGAGGTTTTACTGTGGAATGTGGCACTACTTAATACTCATTGGTTGTATTACACGAGCAATCTTATCACTTTACACTACCGCATTACATTATATCTACTACTTGCACTCCCGACAGGATGGCTCACAAAGGAAACCCAACGCCATGTTCCGCCTAGATTACAACAGATTCGAGACGGAAGAACATTAGTAATATTTATCGCATTTTCCGACATGCTCATCACAGAAAGCGGTAATACGTGCTTTGCCTGTTTGTAAAGTGCACAAGCAACTTTGACTATAAAAGCGTTATCACTTTGCAGTCTCACAATCCATTGCCTGTTATAAACATAATTATGCAATTTCAAAACTCATAAACTCATTAAACATATCTGATAGTTGTAACTTAACTGATTCGGTAGTCAGTGCGTCAATCGTCTCCATTTCCCCCCTTCTGTGCGTTTGTATCAGCCTCGCCGCTTATTCACTTGTCATGCGTGCATATCATGGTATTAGGTAACAGTTAAACGCATGTATAGAATTATCTGGTTGGATTAAGATCCCACATACAAGTGCAAGTGACGACAGGGAAGGGAAAGCGTCTCATCATTCGACTTCCTCGTCCGTCTAGTGAAGCCGTCATATGCTGTGATTTGTTTATTTGTTTGCTTGTTGTTTAAAGCCGCACTCAGCAATATTTCAGCTATATGACGGCGGTCTTAAAGATAATCGAGTCTTGACCAGATAAAGATGGATTCTCTGATAACAACTGTTGCGTATTGCACTGTTTTCAATTTCCCTTCCTCAGCCAAATGACGCAAACGTATGCTCGTTCTTATCAAAAGCTGTTTTATGCAACCTGCTTTCATACGTTAAGAAATGTGCATAGTTTATGTAGATAACCTGTTAAGTGATGTTATAATTCAGGATATAATTGTATAATATAAAGTTGCAATGGCCCATATGAATAAATCAATCGATGTAAGCCTTTATCTGAAAATAGCAATGTGTCATACAATGTATGTAGTATTATACGGTATGTTTGTTTGTTGTTTAACGCCGCACCCAGCAATATTCAAGCTATATGACGGCGGTCTGTAAATAATCGAGTCTGAACCAGACAACCCAGTGATTGATATCACGAGCATCGATCGACGCAATTGGGATACGATGACATGCATCAATCAGGTCAGTGAGCCTGACCACCCGATCCCGTTATTCGCCTTTTATGGCAAGCATGAGTTGCTGAATACTTCTACCCCAGATCTTGCTATGAACATACCGTTGTTATGTATAAAACATGCAAGTCACAACTACAGTGAACAGGTGAAGTGATTCATTGTTACAAATATAATACCATGGTAATCATGATCTAGGTACATTCTGTATAATGTAGCTAGTTTATGAGTAATATAGATATATATATGTAACCGTGCGTATAATACCACACAGTTGAGTTGTCTGTATATATATTGACATACCAGTGAAGCAAATGTTCAAACTTAGTTCTGCAGTTCTTAAAGTACATATCAACTCTGATGCTGACGGTATTGTATACCTATCAAATTAAATGAATAAAACATGAAGCAGAGCGCGATCGTGATTTATGCTTACAGCGTACGATTTATTGATCCAGTTTTGAATTTGTTAGTGTGGCTGCCAGTAATGTTCATTTGAATCTGAGAACCGTGCCACACACACTCACAGACAGAGAGAGAGAGACAGAGAGAGATCTAGAGAGAGAGAGAGAGAGAGACAAAAACAAACACACGCATACAATACACGTGTTTCAAGTTTTGTCTTGTTCGCCAGGGGAGTAATTAGCTAAAAAATGAAGGTCACGTTAGTGCGCATTTTTCTCACCATTTCAACACAAAATAATACATCGACTGCACGTCCAGGTTTGTGCCTATGCCAAACGTGTCACACTCGTCTTACAACTGATACCATCGTTTATGAAATGATTTAAACAGTTCGCAGTATGTTGACCGAACACTGCACTCAATAAGACTATACAGCCAACTGCTGATGTTTCGTTCGGGTCATGTCTATCCTCCCGAAACTACCACCAACGGGAGGGTAAATGTTAGCGTGCTTGCTCAGGCAATGTGTGCTGGCGATGAGTGGACTTCGTCTTTTCAACATGTCCTAGATTTCATTACTTTTGTCCAGACATGTGTACATTTGTGTTTCCGGTACTCCCTTAAATGACTCCACGTGCAACCCTCGTGAATATAGGTTAGTAGACGTTAACCCTGCACTCGCGCTATAACGAGATTGATTGTATTGATCGAGGAATTCCCCTGACCTCATGTAGAACGTTGTGTGCTTATCAGGTCATTGCTATACGGTGAAATACACATAGCCTACCTGTCGACTCGAACCATACGTTTTGTATACTCAGTATCAGTAGGAAAAGTTGACCTAAGTGGAATACACACATTCTTCACGGTCTGATAAACATTAAGATCAGATGAAAGCGTAACACCTGTCTGGCCTTGAAACGGTGAAAGTCCCTGTCCACAGGTAAATAATGGAGAATGATGGTCTTACCTTGTTCACAACACTGACACCATGGGTAGATATTCAAAGGAAGTATATTGCTTCTTCATTAAGGAGTTGCCGACTCTTATCAGCTTTATACGCCGAGAGATATTATGAGTCAATTGTGGGTTGTGTTGCGTGCCGTACTCGCGCAACAACCCTACAGCTTACAACAGGAATTAGACGCGCGATGTTTGTTCAAGCATGCCGCAGATATCCTTGTGCGCATCGGACAATTGAGGTCGCTGTGCCCGGTTCGTTTGACTTTAGTGCTATCAAGGGGAGGAAATGTGTTTGTCACTCGGCCCTGGGGTGCACACAGTCGGCACGCGCCATGCTCCGTGACGTCATTGAACGTGCAGTGACGCACTCGTCCCGCCCACTTCGTCGTCAGCGCGTGCTGTCGGAGGAGAGGGGACTCGTGCTGGACCACGTTTGACTGGTTACAAAACCGTTTGGGCTGGACTTTCAGTACTATACCGGCAGTAGTGACCCACATGTTGAATATTGTAACTCGGAAACTTGATAAGTTGTAACGGCACATATTGACACGGGAGGGTATTGGCTAATTACATCCATGAATGTAACGCTCTATATAGTAACTGCCGAGGAAGTGGAGGCCGGAGAGACGGGATGTCACAATTGTTTCGCCTAGTTTATAATTAGAATTGCGCGGAGTTCATGAAGCCTGCATCCTTGTGAGAGGTTTAGAATATTGTGCCATGTTTCACCAATACAGAAGGGATTAATAATGCATTGCAATTCTAGACACACTTTCATCGACATGTTTGAATAACACATCCAATCTCCACCCAACGTGTACACATAAGATTATCTTAATCCATTCAGTTATCTTATCAATTTGTATATGTTTGAATCGTTGATATAACACTAAATTTTAAAAAAGAGATGTAAGGGAAAAATGAATATCTCAATGTGTTCAATTTCATAGGCCGGCAAATGTTCCTTTGCAAACTGTTTAGAAAACGGGCAGAATAGATTTGTTTGATATAAAAAACCTATATTGCAATATGTAAAATGGTGTGTCAAAACAAAACCACATAAAAACAGCAATAGCGTCACAAATTATTTCTACCTCCTTATCATTCCTTGGTTGAAAACAGACAGCTGTTCCGTGTCTATGGAGGTTGTTTATTCGCAATAGAACACACACGCAAGTAATTAGTAGCCAAGGAGGCTCGCGTTATTTTCGCATACTTAACATTCATGCACTGTACCAAATGATGATGTTATTCTTGTTGTCAGACCTTTCCAAACAACGACTTCGTATATGAAGGAAACCGGCACCGACAACATTGTATGATACACTGAATCATCCCCAGACATACTGCATTTGTGCAGATACTAGTACAGTAAACTACGGTTATAACGAACTCAAAGGGACTACTAAATTTAGTTCGTTATAACCGTAGTTCGTTATAAACATATATACAGCATAACTACAGCAAATAGTCGGGACCAAAAAGTAAGTTCGTTATATCCGTCAGTTCGTTATAAGCGTGTTCGTTATAAGCGTAGTTTACTGTACCTGGATACCTGCGGTATATAAATGTATAGTTTGAAAAAGAAATACACTGTATTCATAAAATGATCAACCTTTTATACCTTCAGGCAAATTGTCATCGTATGATGACTTTCATCGTAATTGTCTTGCTATCACAGAAAGTTGAGTATTGATCGGCCTCATTAAATGTTCTCATGGAGGCATGTATTAAGTTTTCTACAAAAATCTACAAGGCAAGTCAGATTTGATATGTATTGTGAGCGTGTTTATATTTATTTGAGAATTGACTTTCAACTTGTGTGAGTTTATTGGAGTGTGAACCTTCATAGAGTGATGACCAAACTGTATGAACGTCGGAGCTTCGCCTTATCGTTTTTAACAGTGTAAATGAAGGAACATTTATTTTCATTAATATTATTTCGAGATTAGATGATGAATCAACAACATGAATTCTCAGAGATCCATTATCTTACCAACAGGTGTTATTAAGATGTTGCAATTGATGATACCAGTGTTCGCGAAAAGGGAGAGCGTATCATGCCCCGGCAGTGACACCCGTCACAAACACATGCAAAGGCAAGTAAATTGTTCACCGGAAAAAAACCACGAGAACATATGTAGTCAAAATATGGAATTTTGTCACTGATGCTTCAAATGTGGAAATGTCCTCCACATGTCTACCACAAACCTTTTCAAACGCTTTACTGGGGCCTTGAATGTAGGGTTATACTTTAATCCTGATTGTATAGAACACATGTATGAAGACACCCTTTAAATTTCTTCTCTGCTATTATACAAGCATTTAACTCATAATATTTGATTTATTTTGCACCGAACGCGACTCATTCCAGGGTGTGACTTGAGACGCCTATAAAGTATTGCTGACAGCGCTCATTCTCGCCGCACTCGGCAGTGTGTTACACCGCACCGTGAGGTCAGTGTTGACTGGATAAAGTCGTTCTCTGATAATAACTGTTGCGTATTGCACTGTTTTCAATTTCCCTTCCTCAGCCAAATGACGCAAACGTATGCTGGTTTTTATCAAAAGCTGTTTTATGCAACCTGCTTTCATACGTTAAGAAATGTGCATAATTTATGTTAATCACCTGTTAAGTGATATCATAATTCAGGATATAATTGTATAATATAAAGTTGTAATGGCCAATATGAATAAATCAATCGATGTAAGCCTTTATCTGAAAAAAGCAATGTATTATACAATGTATGTAGTATAATAGAGTATGTTTGTTTTTTAACGCCGCACTCAGCAATATTCTAGCAATAAGACGGCGGTCTGTAAATGATCGAGTCTGGACCAGACAATCCAGTGATTGACATCATGACCATCGATCCACGCAATTGGGATACGATGACATGCATCAACCAAGTCAGCGAGCCTGACCACCCGTTAGTCGCCTCTTAAGACAAGCACTGTTATGGCACGCATGGGTTGCTGAAGATCTATTCTACCCCGGATCTTCACGGGTCACAATAGAGTATAATTGCCAAAGCTACAAAACACATTATAGACACCATTTAGGTATGTTTATGCTTGCTTAATCATTATCACATGCGGAACTCTCAAGTGCAGGTACCAGCAACTTTCTGTGAATACAAAACAAAAATATTGTATTGTCATCTCTGATGACAGACAAAAACGGACTGTTTGTCCGTTTTCATGGTGAATTGAATGGAAGATCGCAGAGATCTGTGAATTTCTTTCACTTAATGTCTGGTTTAGTGAGTCCAATGGTTATCCAAAGGTACAGAACTAAAGGGCGGACCATTTGATTTCCATTTGAACCCCAGCTTATAATTTTGTGTAAATAAATACCTCAGCCTCCATCTTCTTATACAAAGATCTCATCAATAAAACATCTTGACCGCAATATGGCAATCCTCATCAATACGGAGTATTTCATAGGCAAAGCCATAATCTTTGACATCAAGAAATGAGCATGAGAAACAGTATGCGTGTAACACTTATTTATAAGCAATCATTTCAAATCTTCCATTAGAAGAGGCCACCTGTGTCAAGAAATATACTTCTGTTGTCAAAAGACATGAATTATTACACCATTACATTGTCAAGTAAGCCGTCAATAAGAACAAAAATGAAGATATTGTGTCTACCTTTTGGAGGATGGGGTGAGATTGAAATATGCACATGGAACTCTCTTTAATCCTTCAGTATGCCACAATTGTCAGTCAATGCACACACTATATAGACGACGGGCAGAAGATGTAAGACGTCTGATCACAAGAAATGGGATGCAACGCCATTTTCTTCAGAGAGTCTGTGCTAACTGTTATAAGGGCGACCTTATATGTAATAAGTCTGGTGATTATGCTGGCTAATGAAGCCACATTGGCATGGAACACTGGCTGTAGGAAGGATGTGAAGTGTTCAAACTGCGGTGGGAACTATGCGGCCTCTTCTAAATCCTGCCCTGTGTGGCACCATGAATTACAAATACTGAGGATTAAGCATGAACAAAATATCTCCTTTCAAGAATCTATTTCTCACTCTGCTGCAGTCACCCATCCTGTTTTTACAACTGCTTCTATTGTCTGCCAGCCTGATCTGACATGGGTCAAATCTGTTCAACCACTCCCTTCCCTTCACAAGTAAACACACCTTCGACACTTCCCAAACCAAAAACTGTAAAGACTGACGAGTCTCACTCCAGAACTGGTACCTGCACCAGTATAAGAAAATGTTCAACCAACAAAGGAAGAAAGAAAATTATTTACACAAAAGCAACATAAAGAGCAGCTGCAAACACAACCACCAAATGCAACTTCTTCTTAAGAGGTCCACATAGAGGTACATAACAAGTTTTGTCCCCTGGACATGAAGGTTTCTCCATATCCATACGACACTAATAGGAGTACTACAAAGTCTTCCACACGTTCGCGGGATATAGCTCCTGTGGAAGCACCATGGATCCACGAAACACAATAAAATGGAATTGCAGAGGTCTTAAGAAGAAATTTCATGAAACACAGCTATTGATTCAAGATTTTAAACCATCGGCTTTTTGTCTCGAAGAAACATACCTAACAGATAAATGTGATATCCGTCAGTACAGTTCTTACCACTCGTTTTCCCCTCATGATTATAAAGCTACAGGAGGTTCTTCTATCCTGGTGAGGCAGGGCGTAATCCATCGCTTAAAGGGCAAGTTCACACGGAAATGAACCTATTTTTCTTGTACTTTTTCCACATTAAAAGTGTTAACCTAGTAGTGTCATAGACAAAAATATAAAAATATCACAATTAATTAACATATGTTTTGCATTAAAACGATTTATATTTTTCACATTTACCAAGTGTTCTATTTTCATAACAAAAACACCATGGCTTATGCCCCTTGCAATATGACGTCATTGGTGCCAATTGATAAACATTATGACGTCATCATGATATGTTAGAGCCGCTTCACGTGGTGTAGGTACAGCTGTGTTATTCTAGCGCCTCAGATGCCAGCCAGCATAGTGTTATGCTGAGTCACCACTGCGCCGGAGTGTGTCGTAGGCCATGTTGTTTTACCGAAAACTGGTACTTGATATCTTTTGCGTTGAGAATAGACAGGGATCCAGTTGAATTGGCACCAATTACGTCATAATCTAAGGGGGATAACTCAGGCCTGTTTAGCTCGAAAAACGAAGGCCTCATAACGGCATATCATTTTCACACTATTGTGAGCTTCCTACTTTCACTGTGAAAAAAATTAGTTTACATTTTCAAACACAGATATTAACTAATTCTAAAATTGCGTTTTGTTTAGAAAAAGAAAGAAAGTGATTTTTGCGTGTACACTTCCCCTTTAACACTTAACACACTT